ACAACACCGGCGCCGAGAAACAAGACGCTAATGAGGGAGGCAAAACAGCCTCTAGTAAGGTAAGCTACGGCCTACGCCATATCGATCAGGATGGTCGTGCGGTTTTTAATTTACATGCTTAATCGAGTCGGGGGCATCAAGTCGTATCAGTTATTGTATTATATAATGTGTAACTTGGGCAGAAACGAGACGTACGTCCACCTTTGATGACGCTTTGTACATTGTTAAGGAGGGTAGGTATGCCAAGACTTTTTGCTCTTGTGGAACCTCGGCGCACCCTCAGAGACACTCCTTCAATTTGACTCAAAAGACTCGTCTCTCATCCTAATTCCTTGAGTTGCCGGGGCTAACATGATTCATATTATAAATAGATCGCTATCGCAGGTTGAAAATCTAGATTATCGGAATCCATATGAGCATTGGATGAATCCGGTGAGATGCATAATGAGCTCTCCGATATTAATACCAGGGCTTGCTCGGTACCAGCAACTCACCCGGTCTGCCCGGGAACAGCCCTGAGTCTTAGTTAACCCGTTGCATCTCTAAACTAATGAAAACAACGGTGTCTATATAGACAAAGCCATAGGAGGTTGCAGGAGCCAAGCCTTCATCTATCCCAGCAACCCAGTAAAGCTGTCTTTGGGAGGTCGATGATATCCGGCTTAATGCCGCGCAACCCATAAAAAGCGACTCGACTCCAAGAGAGCCAATCATCAGCCCTGGGGAGTTAGCGATCGCAAACCCGAAAGGTTCTCTTGCTAACCGGAACACACTCGATGGCATCTCCAGAGCAGCTGAGAAGCCTGGATCAGCCGCAAGACGGCTCGTTGAGAGTATCGTATCCTACATATCGTTACGAGCTCATGATGCTTCCAGGTTCCGCATTCCCGCTTTGGGAATATGCTATTTTATCCCGGCCTTAACAACACATAGGGACTAGAGTACTAAGGTAAAAGTCATAATAATAATGCCCGAGGCGGGGTAGCTTGACGTCGACACAGAAAAAGACAGGCCTAGGTAGAGAGGGCAAATCGAGGGTGCAGCATTGACAACGTCTGTCACAAATGACGATGATACCACCTCTTCGGGGGATGCAGGAATCCTCGTCATCTGACGGGAAGAAAAGGAAGGGGAAGTAATTGATGAGGAGACCAGACTCACCACACGATGCATGCGAACTGTGATGAAGTCATCTTCCTTACCTTTCGATGCGGCCAGGTACATACTTAACACACTGATCTTTCTACTTCCACGCTTTATCTGATGTTCTCGCTCGCGCCACATTATGGAAACGCCGGCAACCCTTGTCCTAAAGCGCAATTTATAGAATGGTCTTTGGGGGAAACTGGTGGCTTACAGGCGCGCTGGCTTGCATAGCTTCCTGTCATGGGACCCGACGCCAGGTTTACGAGCTTCAGTTCTCAGACAAGATCTGTCGTCACCCTAGCACGACGGTAGCGCCGATCATAAACCACGTAGAGAGCCTGTATAGAGCCTAGGAGCAATTCTTCTAGCTGTGTTGTGCAAAGGGGAAGTAGTAGACATTAGGGAACCAGGGCCTTGCTTCCGGATCGAGCGACATGCATCCTCCAACACAGTCTTATGGCTGCAAGCAGGTGGGTGAACCCGACAAGCCGACTTCTTAATAATGACTATAGGAGGTAGGTCTGTCGCTCAATTACCAGGGTATAACCGTTCTTCCAACCAAGCATTTGGTTCCTGACAAGAGGGCTGGCAAGTAAAGAACATCAGCGCTAGGAACGGCGGGACGTTCCTCTTTCCTGCAACTACAGCCGGCCGAGACCTAATACGCACACATATTGCTCATGAACTTGCACGCGTTAGCCGAATAACTGCCCGGTATACTTAGCTGCAGATGAGCGAACTCTGATACGCTTCTTAGCAACGTCACCATCCAATATGAGAGCCTGTTATCCACAACTTCTTCTCCAGTGCCATCACTGCACGTGTGGCCTTCATAGCGGTTGATCCTGCTTGTTCTGGTATCCTAATGCAATCTGAGGGCACGACAGGTGGACCGTCTCAGTTCCACAACGTCTACCACCACAGTATAAGGCCATGGCATGCAGATGAGATGGAGATGCCGATTTTCTCTAATCTTTTTTCTCCCTATCACTAGCAACAAGTGCTTGACGAAGGAGATTAAAAGGGCCAATGCTTTGTTTCGGAGAGATATCTCGCTCGAACCTCCATTTTCGTATACTTTAATTGGCCTTGTCTAGACTAACCCTATGTCTCATCATGACTACTGTAGATGAATGCTATACGCGGGAGCATAGCCCCACGGCGCCTCGTCCGGCCGCCCTGCGCAACGGTTGTATTATGCCGGTCCGATATGAACCATACAGCACGGCTTCGTAATTGTGTTAGGCAGTTGTTTAGAATCGTGGATTCCGGCCGAGTTTCGCCCATCGGGATATCGATCACGCCCGTTCCAACTACCTTCGTCGACCTACGTATGAGAGATGCGCGGCTCACAGCGGCCGGGATTTCTACCACATCAGCGTGGTATTGTTCTGTTTAAAGTTGGAGCTCCTATATAGATAGTCACTGTAGCACGTCGTTGCAATGTGACTGCGGGTGACTTCCCGGTGTATTACTACGGGATTACCTCAATTTGTCATGATCGGTATTGAAATAGACTACCACGGATACCACAGCTTTGATTGATATTTCGGGCTTCGAAAAAAATCATCAAATTAGCGGTATCATTCAACGTCGCCTGGAAGCTTCTTTCGGAGCACACCATAATATAAGGTATGCAGCCACTAAAGTCAATGACTCTGGAGAGAGCATCACGATGGAATGATGAAGATCTGTGCAACAGGGGATGCATAATATTCCCAGAGGATTCGCCGAGTCTTGTGAGGCTCTTTGACTACCCTAGGACCCATCAGGATGGAACACTTCAGATGTTCCGTTGGCACCACGTAGGCGGTAGTACAGAGGTGCACAGAGCTAAGCCCAATAATGTGCCTCGAAGAACCAATCGCTAAGGCGGAAAGGGTTCTAAAACCGGGTGCTACGAGATGATAACCCTCCCCCGAAGGATTCCCGTACGAAACAACGCCAGGAAGATACAAACTGCTCTTCGAGTTATCAAATGGGGAGAGAAAGACCTGAACGACCCTTAATCGGAGACGTAGAACTACGGCTGTCACATACGCTCAGGAAACCCTTAGGCTTCCACCAGGATGTCCCGTTGCGGCCAATTAATTAACTAGACGCACGTCTCACTAAGCGAGTGTGGCCTGGGAATCAGATCATCTCAAAATCAAACCTTCTAGGTCAGCCGAGTCGTACAGTACCAAGCTTCAACTACGTATTTCGGCGTGCACAAGCATATCAAGGTTCTGACGGTCTCACGTAATAATTAAGAGCGTGCATTTTTCGCTACTTAGCGTAGCCGCATACAGGAGGATGCAATCATAAGCAATGGGATAGGTAAGATGGATGTATGACAACTAGATATGTGAAACACCATCATGATCTCGAAGTGAACGTATAGAGGATCAGAAATAGTATAATTATCATTTCTAATCGCCTATCGCCAATAATAGAATACCTACTCGCCAATATCAAAAGGCCCCCTTTCGTATCGGTATAGCAGTCGTAGTCGTTCGAACGCGGACCGAGCGGCACCGCGTGGCGCATAGAAAAAGCTATGAAACCCGCGGATCGCTCATCGCCGCCCTGGCAGGACGCCCTCGACGCGCCTTTAGTGGCGCCGAGGATCTAAACCTTGACGCCACGGGCCTTTGGGGGATCGATCAGCTCAACAGCCGGTACCGGGACAGGACGTAAACTCGCTCACGCACGTACATACATACGGCATATACGCACACATACCTACACCTTACGCATACACACACGCATGCCTCATACATAACGCATATACAGCCTACAGCTCGGGAGTCCATCGTCGACCGTCGCAGTTAGTTAGGAAAGGGGGTGAAGCCCTCCGGTGGATCCCTCGTCAGCGCCCAAGATTGATCAGGTGCCTGGGCGCGGCGCACGTGGTTCTTGCTCCGCTTGGTCGGGCATACATATGTAATGTATGTATGGATGTATGTATGCTTCTCTGCACGGGTGGGCGGTAAGGGGGGAGGCTTTTTTTATTTTCTTCAGCAGCTTGGTCGGCAGGGTTAAGGGCGGCTATTCTGGTTATTGGGGTTGGGTTAGGGGTAGGGCAGGGATTTTGCTTCCCGTCCCGGCGTCGTATTTGGGTCTGTTTACTTGCTTGTGAAAATCGGTTTTTAGATAGGACTCAAGTCTGTGTGTTAGATTTATGGAAATGAGGATGGGATTCAAATATGAATATCGATTGGATCGGATTGGCTGACGGAGGGGGCTGGCTGGCTGACTGGCTGGCTTCATACGACTTTTGTTAGTTGTCTGAGATTTGCTTTGGAAACTTACCTCGTAGCCATTACTCACTAAGATATCTAGAGACTCAAAACAGAAAAAGTCTTTTTGTAAAACATTATCAAGAGTCATACAATCCCTTCGTCAAAGCAACGGAATTTGAACATACTTGATAGGTATTGAGTGTTGGCTTATTGTCTACAATATACCTAAATACCCAGCCAGGGGTTTAAGTCCAACAACAGGTGTAAGTAATTTCATTATACTTCCGAACCGAATGAATTGAAAATATTTAAAATGATGAGATACGAGAATTGTTTCCTAAATATCCAAAAGAAGGTACAAAATCCTTTTTGGGGTAATGGCATTAAGTAAAATTAATCAAAAAGTGGTATGTCCTAATACTAGGACATGTAACACAGTATTACTATCTGTAGAATTTATAGAATTTATAGTCTTCTGGTTGCACCTGACAAGAAAATATTTGGCAGCTGACAAAGACTTCTCAACTAAACTTTGAAGCTCCGTCCAATCACAAGGCTTCTTTTTACAAAAGTAACATTGTGACATACCCAAATCACCGAACCCATGAAAAACAACCAACGGTCCCGGACATGGATAATTACCAGGTTGGCGTAGAGTACCTCTCCGCAGGTGCAAATAGGCATACCGCCGTGGCCGACTGGAGTGAGGATGGGACAGTAGCCTTCGGTGCTGACTCACTTGTCGCTTTATGGCGACCACATGTAGGTGCGACTTGGAGCTAACGAGACCTAACGCTGTCTTGCTAATCTTATACCTATTTGATTAGAACGCGGCACCAAAAGGTGTGACAAATCTTCTTTCGGGACACAAGGATATCGTCAAGGCTGTCAAGTTCCTACCTAAGCTTGAGGGCGAACCTACATCGTATTTGCTCACTGGAGCTGATGATCAATGTCTGAAAATTTGGGCGCTTTCGACAGATACCGATGATGCCGGTGGTGCTTCTTGCATGCAAACAGTGAATGCTCATACGGCACCTGTGAACTGTATAGCAACTCTTCATGGGAAATCATCGCCAGGTTCGACGTCGAGGATATTTGCCACGGGTGCAGCAGATGCCTCGATAAAAGTGTGGGCACTAGAAGGCAACGAAATTCGCTTACTACAGACCATCAAGACTGCCCCGAAGTTCTTCCCACTCTCGATAGCCTTGAGTAGCCTCAGTCAGGATGGTGAGGGATTAGTTCTAGCAGTGGCTGGGACGAGGGATATTGTCCAAATTTTCGTTGCAAGCTCCAGCACTAGCCCCGAGTTTCAGCTCCAGGCAACCTTATCAGGCCACGAGGGATGGATTCGATCACTAGATTTCACATGGGAGGGAAATAATTCCGAGAGCGACCTGATACTAGCATCTGCGAGCCAAGACAAGTACGTCCGCCTATGGCGATTTCACAGAGGCAAGGAGTTGCCTGCTGCAGCGGCGAACGGGGCTGACCCATCCATGGGCGCATATCTACCTGGAAGGTCCCCTTCGAATAAGGCACATCGGTTAAAAGCCGCAGAAAAGGACTATTCTATAACCTTCGAGGCGCTGTTACTAGGGCACGACGATTGGATATACAGCGCAAAATGGTATTCTAGCCCGTCTACCGGAAAACTGCAACTCCTGTCTACATCCGCGGACAATACGCTCGCGATATGGGAAGCGGACCCTTCTTCGGGTATCTGGGTCACGACGGTGCGGCTCGGCGAGATTAGCCGGGAGAAAGGAGCCACGACCGCGACGGGAAGCACAGGTGGGTTCTGGACGGGTCTCTGGTCTCCCTACGGAACCTCCGTGGCGTGTCTCGGCCGGACCGGCAGCTGGCGGCTGTGGGACCACAGTGCGTTGCAGGACCAGTGGCTGCCGCGCATCGGCATCAGCGGGCACACGCGCTCCGTGACAGGCATCGCGTGGTCCAAGAACGGCGACTTCTTGCTGTCCACCAGCGCGGATCAGACCACACGGCTGCACGCGAGCTGGAGCAAGGGCGGCGGGGCCGGGACCTGGCACGAGATGGCGCGCCCGCAGATCCACGGCTACGATCTCAACTGCATCGACTCCCTAGGCGGCTCGCGCTTCGTGTCCGGCGCGGACGAGAAGCTAATGCGCGTCTTCGAGGAGCCGAAGGCGGTCGCGCGACTCCTGCGCCGACTGTGCGACGTCGTCGGCTCCCGCGACGAGGACGTCGAGGCCATGCCCGACGCGGCGAATATGCCCGTGCTCGGGCTGTCGAACAAGGCGATCGAGGCCGTCGACGACGATATCGAGGTCCGGGCGCCGGCGGCCAACGAGATGGAGCGGGACGCCTTGGACCCGGGCACGACGGTGCGCAGGTCCGCGCTCGAGATCGACCACCCGCCGCTGGAGGACAGCCTGTCGCGGCACACGCTCTGGCCCGAGATCGAGAAGCTGTACGGCCACGGCTACGAGATTTCTTGCCTGGCCGTGAGCCACGACGGGACGCTTGTCGCGAGCGCGTGCAAGGCGAGTTCGGTCAACCATGCCGTTATCCGCCTTTTTGAGACGGAGAGGTGGACGGAGGTGAAGCCGCCGCTGACGGCGCATTCGCTGACTACGACGCGATTGCGGTTTTCTCCCGACGACAGGTACCTGCTTAGTGTTGGGCGAGACCGGCAATGGGCTGTTTTCGAACGGGATGGCGACAATAAGCAGAGCTATAAGCTGTTACAGTCTAATCCAAAGGGACATTCTCGAATGATTCTAGACGCCGCATGGGCGCCTTCGAAGGACTCGTTGGTATTTGCTACGGCCGGTCGAGACAAGCAAGTCAAGATATGGCGGCAATCCCCGGCCGACTCGGGAGAGCCTAGTATTGCCTCCGTGACTACGATACCTGAAACGCATCCAGTCACAGCTATCGACTTCCTACATCGGGACGCCGAGAGCAGCGCCTTTCTCCTGGCGGTTGGCACTGAGATCGGAAAAGTGTCAATATACTTGATTAACGCGGTCTCACTTGAAGTATCTGCAACGCTAAATCTAAGACCGGAGTAAGCCCTTTCACGTCCGCCTGATATATTACTGCCTACTAACAAGTTTTCCCTCCCCTAGATTATGTCTCGCGAAGGCTGTTTTGCAACTTTCGTGGAGACCACAGCGAACTGCAAACGAGTTGGCGATAGCTGGAGAGGATAGCTCCCTTAGAGTATATTCACTTTCGGAGATAAATCCATGAAGTCTAAACACCATCTACGCGACTGCCTAGCTATCTAGGCACTGCCATTATTTGTCCAAGGCGCGTTCTTTCTCTTGCATGGACATTCGTGCGTGCCTGTTGATGCCAATTCTATCGATCCCAACGCCTAACCGTATCTCTCAAACACATTAACGCCGCAACTCGCCCCCTTTTTGGCCAGGCCGGCTAATTACAATTATTACGTGGATCATTTATCATCTGCGTGATGTCTAGGAAAGGCCGTCTTTTCTCGAGACTCGTAAGGACTTTGCGCATCACAATTCCCGAATTATAGACTCGGCGACCTCGGTAGCTGCTGCCATAGTGGTGGTCGTAGATTTGGTCGCCAGTGATAGAGCGTCCTTCTTGCCGGCGATAAAGTTGGATGCGAAGCCGCTCTCACCGCCGTTGACGTAGAACCAAGCGCGGTTGAGGATGAAGAGGACGTGCTGCGGGAGATAGAGGACGGTGGCGATCATCAATAAACTGCACAGGAGGAACACGATAGACCCTACGGACTTGTTAGAGCTTGTAATTAGATAATATAACGCTACATCTTAGCGCATGGCTGTCATCTCAACCGCCTATGCCTGATAGTCGCAATGATGATGGTTTTAGGTGAAGCGTGTTCCATGAATAAATAAATAAATAAATAAATAAAAATACTCACAAAATATAAACCTCTCTGTCTGCGTAAACATGTAGACGCCGAAAGTGACCTCAATCTGGTATTGCTTCAGCCGAAGCCAGCGCCCAAATCGCTGGATTGCATTGAGATTCTCGGGTTGTTTCGTCAAGTACTCCATCGTGTCTGTATCTCGTAATGTGCTTCTTGCCTTTTTATTGTCTTTTCCGGTGTTGTCCGTAACTAGTCCAATTCGATCCGGTTTCTACGTTGTCTCTGTAGCTCGTCTGGTACGTGTGGATCGATAAGGGGGAAGAGAACGGAAAGGCAGGATGCGTTGTTCGTAACCGACTTTATTTTTTTTGGAAAAGGGGAAACTTCGAAAATGGTTGTTATTATTAGAGTTAAGAATAAGGTTCAATTAACTTTGCTGATATGGAGGGAATAACGAACGAGGCGTAAATCGAAGGTTCTGGTCGCTCGGAATAGGGAAAGAGATAATTAAAAGATATAAGACCGGGATCGTTCGAGATTCGAGGTCGTGCTTGTGCTCCTAAATCGAATGGATTCGAATTGGTTACCTCCACCAAGAGACGCGCAATTGAAGTCAATTGATTGCTGCTTGATTGGACAGGGGTAGACCCCTGTTGTTTTCTGAGTGGTAATATGGAAAGAAAATTGAGCCAATTGGATCGAGAGAATAGGTTAGGGGTCTCCCCTTTTATTAATGTAACCTTGTTGGAATTGTCTACTAGCGCTAATTACATAAGCACATGAAAAAAGCGGAAGTGACGTCGCGTTGTCGGATTTTGACAGCTGCCAGTCAACAATTTGTGCTCGTATATCGTTAAACTGTACGAAGCTATAGACATTTTGTTCGTGACGTTGTCCCCCCTATAGCTTAGTGGTTGACAGAAAGTCCGGGATAATTGACTTCATTACGAGAAATGGCCTGACTCGATAGATGGCCCTACCCCCTGGACACGATCTCTAACCGTTACTGCTGGTAGTGCGGGACGACGGCGATAATAACGACGATGCCACCGTTGCTGCGACCACTTCGCAGTCTGCTCGCACTCCGTTCTACCAGCCAACGGACACTCTCCGCTCCCACTCTTGCGTTGCGGGTATCCTTCTGCACCTCCGGACCCCTCCTCAAGCACACCAACCTCCCACCACGTCCTAAGCCTCCACCAGAGGAGGAAATCGAGGAGGCTTTCCTGAAGGGTAGCGGGCCGGGAGGGCAGAAAATCGTAAGCCACCGCATACTTCACCCTCTTTATCTTGTTCACCAGTCTTCTCCTTCCTTATATCCTTTAACTAAACCAAAGTAACTGACGACGCAGAACAAAACCAACTCCGCGGTCCAGCTCAAGCACATCCCCACCGGCCTCGTCGTCAAGTCCCAAGCCACGCGCTCGCGGAGCCAGAACCGGAAGATCGCGCGGCAGCTGCTAGCCGACAAGCTCGACCAAATCGCGCGCGGCGACCAGAGCCGCTCCGCCGTCGTCGGGGAGTTCAAGCGCAAGAAGAAGGCCAGCTCCGCCAAGAAGAGCCGGAGGAAGTACCGGAAGCTGGAAGAGGAGAAAGCTAGGGCTGCGGGGGAAGAGACTTTGGAGGGAGAGGAAGAAGTAGACGAAGAAGACGGCGAGTATGAGGAAGATGCGCCGGATGAAGGAAAATCGAATGTTCCTAGGTAAACCAAATGAATACAATCCATTGACTTACTCAAATACCACTAAGTTTGGAGAACCATAATGCACAATCGTACCTAAGATTGGGCTTGGCAATCGTAAATTACAATCAACTCTACACTATTTAAACACGCAATGACAAGTCTAGGCTCTTAAAGTGTTGTGGTTCACATTGTTCACACCAGGCTTATTACTTGAGAACGGAAAAACAGAAGTAGTATATGATCAACCTCGGCTGGAATTGTCTAGTCCACCCCGTGCTTGAACGGCCTCCTAAAAAGTAAAGCACCTCATATTCTCTTTTCTCTTGGAGTAATACAGCCCTAATCTCCGGACCACTATCAGAACCTTTTGTAGATACGAGTCTCGACTGGGATACATTCGCAACGGTAGGAGCTGCGCAATGCTCATGCTCCGGTTGGGAACATCGCGGGCTCGTGAGAAGTTATCGGACACGTGGTGTTTAAGAAGCTGGTTCGTAGTTAGATACTGGAAAAGCCAAGATAGAACAGGCTAATCTAACAATACCTTAAAAGCACTTGCGGTGAACGATCGAGGGACCGCTCTCATCGTACTCCTGCTTAGAGATCCACATTTGCTGGAAGGTAGATAGAGATGCCAAAATAGAACCACCGATCCAGACAGAGTACTTTCGCTCAGGGGGAGCAATGATCTTGACCTTCATGGAAGACGGGGCAAGAGCAGTAATCTCCTTCTGCATACGGTCGGACAGACCAGGGTACATGGTAGTACCACCAGACTAGATATCATGTTAGCGCTTAAATTCGAAGGTGGAGCATAAAGTACGTACCATGACAATGTTTCCGTACAGGTCCTTTCGAACATCGACATCACACTTCATGATGGAGTTGAAAGTGGTGACGTGGATACCACCGCTTTCAAGACCAAGGACAGAAGGCTGGAACAGAGCCTCAGGGGCACGGAATCGCTCATTACCAATAGTAATGACCTGGCCGTCGGGAAGCTCGTAGGACTTCTCCAAGCTGGAGCTCTGGGCAGCAGTCTGGATCTCCTGCTCGAAGTCAAGAGCGACGTAGCACAACTTCTCCTTGATGTCTCGCACGATTTCTCGTTCGGCGGTGGTGGAGAAGGTGTATCCACGCTCAGCCAGGATCTTCATGAGGTAGTCGGTCAAGTCACGACCAGCCATATCGACACGGGCAATGGCGTGAGGAAGGGCGAAACCTTCGTAGATAGGGACAACGTGGGTGACACCATCACCAGAGTCCAGCACGATACCGGTGGTACGACCGGAGGCGTACAGGGACAGAACGGCCTGGATAGAGACGTAGAAAGCGGGAGCATTGAAGGTCTCGAAGACAATCTGGGTCATCTTCTCACGGTTGGACTTCGGGTTGATAGGAGCCTCTGTGAGCAGGACGGGGTGCTCCTCAGGAGCCACACGCAGCTCGTTGTAGAAGGTGTGATGCCAGATCTTTTCCATGTCATCCCAGTTGGTGACAACACCGTGCTCGATGGGGTATCGCAGCGTTAGGATACCACGCTTCGACTGTGCCTCGTCACCGACATACGAGTCTTTCTGGCCCATACCAATCATGATACTAGCACACAGTTAGATATCGCTGCGCGAGTACAGTATGTTATCGGGATCGACTACTAACCCATGATGACGGGGACGACCGACAATAGATGCTATACTGAAGTGTTAGAAAACAGATCCGAGATTGAGGCCGCCATGAGGCTCAAGCGGGGGCGGTCGTTGGGCAAAGGGGCAGGACTTACGGAAAACAGCTCGGGGAGCATCATCACCGGCGAAACCGGCTTTGCACATACCCGAACTAGGCTCGAGTTAGCTGAAATGTTCTACCATTATGCATCTAGATGTTGAAATCGTGGAATTCGGATCGTGTTTTGGATCCAAGACCCCTACGACCGATGCGCGCTGCAGGATGCGGTGAGACGAGGCAAAACAAGGCGAGATCTTACCCATTGTCGATAACGAGGGCAGCAACTTCCTCTGTAGATGGGATACGTGTCAGCTATTGTAAACTCATCGAAGCTTCGAATGAAGCCGGTGGGATTGGATAGGAGGTGATGTTGACAGATTATGACAAATTACATACCCTCCATTGTGATGGATTACGTAGGTTAGGTATCGAAAGATTAATAAAAGAAGAGAATGAGGTCGTTACTTTCAGCCCACGCGATTCCCAGATCGTGAGAGCAAAGGTGATGGTGTTTTGTCGAAGCCTGTTGTGGACAAAAGACAACGAGGAGAGGAGTTGTTTGTTAGGTGGAAGTTGATTTTAAGGTAGAAGAGTCGGACAGTTAATTGCTTCTGGGGCGAGAGTGTGGGAGAAAAGGGAGGAACGAAGCTGGTTTGATGCACCGATCCCACAGTTCGATGGGAAGAACTTGTGGGCCGAACAAAAAAAGAGGCGGGGCAATGGCCAAGTACAAAATACGTACGCCTATCAGAAACGGCACAGGTATGTAGGTACCGAAGTACCTTCTCTTTTTACAAGGGGGAAAGGGGCAGGAAACGGCAGAAATGGCAGGAATGGCCTCTGCGCACACAAATATTAGGTACCTAAACCAGCTAACTCACTGTACCCAGCTGTACTTATTGAACAACAACAGCACACCTATCACTCACCGCTGTCACAAAGCAGAAATTGTTAAGATGAGCTGGTGAATCCTTTGGTTAGTGCTGGATTAGGCAATCGAATTCATAATCCCCCATCTTTGACTTGGACATTTTATTGCGAAGCATAGTAGGTAAGCATTAGCATCCTGGTGAAGGCACCGAAATAACAAACATTGAAGTCCCCTAGCCTACTAGGTACATATATACAGACCTAGTAGTAGCATATAGTCTTATCTTAATATTGAGGTGCCTAGAATTCGAAGGTCAACTTCTCGCCAAGACTACCGGGCAACCAACCTAACCCACCTCACCGTACATGGTCAGCCAGGGGTTCTCTCGACAGTCTACGACTTCAGTCGTCCTAATACACACCCCGAGGGCCGAGGGCGTACCTAGTAGCCTTGGATCTTCCGCGCATAAGCATTTCATGATGTATGCTTGTGGCTTAGCAGCTACACCTAGGTATACATACAGTAAGGGGACACAATTACGTAGAGAAAGAAACATCCCATTCCCCATACCCTGGAATCACGATTGGTCGGCGCCAAGCAGGCATCGCCTATCCGGGTCAAACATGTCAATCTCACGGGGCGAGTGGGTTGCGCAATCAGGGGCAAGGTGATTTGTGCTATGTTACTTCTACTCCCCTCAAACACGAGCAATAAATAATCAGGCATCTACAACAGTGACTTCGATATGGGCCTACCTATACGAGTCTGACGTAACACACTATGTATACCAAACTATCTACGACTAGGCAATCGTTGAATACTCACGAGCCTGAAGCGAAACAAGGAAGAAAGGAGAAATATGAAAAGGTGGTAATTTTAATAAGAGGTAGCCAGCTAACCCTGAATATGGTATCATCTGGTTTTGGCATCGTAGCATGGCGATTTCAACAAATTTTACATGTTATTATCTCAAACCAGGGTCTTAGCGGTCAAGAAACCGAAGGCGGGGTGAGGGGCATCTGCAGCGGGGCATCTCGACCAACCCCTGTGGCTAGGTCATAATTAGAACAGCATCGTGAGGCTTGAAATATATATCCATCTGGATGTTGGTACATAACTGCCAGGTGGATATGTAATCATGCTATAGAATTTGATATTCGGTAGAAGATTGTGACATTTACTATTATACACCAAAATAAAGAAGATAGTATACCTAAATAGTATTAATTTAAATCTTATCCTAACCTCCTAATTGGCGACTATTTTTCAGGGGTTCCACTTTTCCGGCTTATCGACCCTATCCTTGTGAAGCTTCGCGAATCTTGGAGATCTCAAAAGAAGCTTATGTTTAATGTACATAGTTGACAAGATACTCAGCCTGTTCAGTCGAAACTTTTTAACAACTGAATGAACAAAATCGAGGAGACAATAACTGCAAATCAAAGAAATACTCGAAAACGTCGCCCAACCACTATATTGAACCATTATCAAAGTTACGTCGGCAGAAAATTCTTTCAAAATCGTCGGAAAAAACGATCGATCGCTTGATACCCTGTCCCAAACGACGTAATCTACCGAACTCCAACAAACTTCCTTGCACATCCCTAACAAGAGCAAAAGTCGACAACAGTCAGAACCGCCAACTTCGCAACAAACGCCCGAACAACCCCGCCAAGGGCCAAAGCATAGAAAAGAAAATCCGCCACAAAAATGGCAGGAATGGACAAGAACCTCAACGAGCTCCTAAAATGGAGCATCGAAAACTCAGCGCCGGCCGACCCCTCGGCGCCCCAACCCGCGGGCCCTAAAACATCGCTCAACGCGGAGGCGCTCGCCGCGATCATGGGCGCGCCGTCGGACGCGGAGCTGATGCAGGCGTCGATGGCGGCGATCACGTCGACGGACCCAGAAGTAACGCTCGAGTCGAAGATGACCGCCTTCGACAACCTGGAGCAGCTGGTCGAGTCGCTCGACAACGCGAACCTGCTCTCGAAGCTGGGGCTGTGGACGCCGCTGCTCGAGCTGCTGGGCCACGAGGAGGACCAGCTGCGGCTGATGGCCGCCTGGTGCGTCGGCACGGCCGTCCAGAACAACGCGCCGAGCCAGGAACGCCTCGTCGCGCTCGGCGGCGTCGAGAAGTTGGTTGGCATGGCCCTCGGCGAGCGCTTGCCCATGGAGAAGCGCGCCGGCGACGGCGACGAGACGACCGGGGAGGCGGTCGCCGCTAACGGGGCCGCAGAAGAGACGAAGGATGTGCGCCGCAAGGCCGTCTACGCGCTCAGCTCCGCCGTGCGGAATTACCAGCCCGCGCTAGACGTCGCCGCGAAGGAGTTGCGGAAGAGAGGCGAGGACGTCCAGGAGGGACTGGACGCGACGGATATGGACGCTGTAAACGAATTGATGAACGGTTTGAAGAATAAGGCTATAAATGCATAGATATCTCTTGATAATAATTGGGAGATGGTGGGATAGGGGATAACATCATGGCATTATCGGCGTTGGTGGATACATCCGGTCACTAAAAAGGGGCTTAGGCAGTCACGATATACTTGGGGGAAAGTCACGGTTGCTAAAATGATGAAATGGCAGTTACGTCGTCTACTCGTTATGACTAGTGATGTCTCATATTTTACAGCTGTATTACAGTGTCTGGCATCTTATGTGGCGGGATGATATATGTACATGGTGACGGAGGAGCGTTGTCGCCTCTTAATCTACTAACTCGCCATCGAACGGGATGCCTAAACCCATACAGAGTAGCCTGGTGTGTCTATTTGACTTCGCCGTAGTTTCAAGGTTAAAGCGACAGCCGGAAATCATCTTAGATGGATATAACTGATAAATGTGTTAGCGACTGGATGAGCCTGTTGCCAATTATCTCGGCGACTTACTGAATAATTAGCCTCGACTTCTGGGAAGTGCTGCACGTGTTGAGGTTCGAAACCCCAACTGATGCCCCCGGTGTGGTCGCCGGCAGAGCCTAAGCTTTTTGTTAATATCTTCCATGTCTCATTCTTTTTGCTTTCTCGAAGCGCTAGGCAGTTAAGGGGTACGAACCTTTAACACCCTTCCAATTCTTGATTTTTGGAAACACCAGGTGAATGATCTTGTCTAGGAATTCATAGGCCTGGTCTCCGTAGACACTAACCTTGACAACCGTCCTGTCGCCCTTGACAATACCCCACTGAGCAACGCTCTTTCTGGTTGTTGAGATCGTGGGGCGGACGCCTGTAATGGTCTGCAGTACCGAACGTGCGACGATGAGATGATCCGGGTTCTTCTTAGCCTGCGGTATGAACATGGATAAATGCACAGCCTTAACCTCAGGGAGATTGCGCCAGTTGAGGTCCTTCTCAATAGGGTAGAGAACACCTCTGCCTCGCGGCCCACGTTTAGGTCGGTTCTTCATATACGGCGACGAGTCGTCCCATTCCCGTAACCGTACTCTTTCGGGACTGGGGGGAGTGCCGGGGGGTATGTGCTGGTACGTTAAGGTCAGGATATCGGAGGTGATGGTAGAGTGATAGGTCTGTTTTAGTCGGGGTAGGTTGAATGGTCCAGGGGAATAGTTTCGAGCGACCGGGTCCGAAGATGGCGGCGGTTGGACTGGGTGTAAAGGTCCTCGGTCGTATTTTGGAGGACGGTATCGGTATCTAGACAATGAATATTCATCAACTTGACCCCTTTCTGGTATTCCATGGTATGGACCTTATGCCTACCTTTCGTGGGGAAGCTCGTAGTTTCTACGGCTTGCTCGCTTTCGTGGATCGGTAAGCTTAACACCTTCCCTAGTGACAATTGGTGTCGCCAGGCCGGAGTCTTGCTCAATATCAGGAATTTCGGGTGTAGGCGCAGCGGCTTCGGTCGATGCACATCTTTGGAAGTTCGTTGCGCAAGGCTTCCACCACGATATGGTGCCGAGAAGCTGTCGGCCGGCCCGAGGCATTTCTCTGAGAGCCGCCATGATGTGTTTGCGCCTGCTAACACCGAGTTCTGAGCTCAATGGCGACTTCGCGCATTCAATCTTCTAGGGCCTCAGAAGTGAAATTTCAATGTGCCATCCCACCGAGAAAGCTTTCCGGCGAAACTAATCTCCGGTCTTTGCTTGGATCTAATCCCTGTTAGCCCTAGCTCCAATCTTCAGGATCCCTTTACATGATTGGCTAAGTTGTTGTGGCAGTATTAACCCCACGTTGTGTGATCTGCCTTACATAATCCTATCAATCCGAGCTGAAAGTCTTAAAGGTTGAAGGTAGGCACACCAAATTGATTCACAAATTTTGGTTTTGTATGATTGACCCTAGATCGTATGGAATTATAAGATGGCCAATCTCTCCAGCAATGGTATCTTTTTTGTGCGCCATAAACTTTGCTGTTTGCTTAAGCGTGGATACATACCACACAGTCCACCGAGCATCTATGGATACTAGGTATGTACCTAGTTGAGAAAACCGCATCATATCACAGATATTCAGTATATAACTCAGATTACCAGGAAAACAAAAAAGCGCATATCACATAAAATCGTTACCAAACATAAGTTGAGTTTATTTCAGAAACGTGAGACTCAAGATATCAACAATACCACCAGCTGGATGATGGCATGTCGATCACCTGACGAACCCTCCGTTGTAGGGGCTACGTAGGTGCCGTGGCTACGGGTACTAGTTTATCTCCTTTTGGTAATCCATCATGATGAATCACTCGTACTGGTACTACAATCTGCAGCACGAGACCACCTAGAAGTGCCAGACCTGCCGGATCATGAATGTACATGCTACGTAGCATACCTAGGTATAGACGTATCACGAGATGTTCAGGGATCTAAAAGTTGCCGGCTGAGGCTGAAAAATGCAAAATGCATTGTAGCTGCCTACACCTATATTATCACCTGCAGGATTCAACGATTCTCAGATTACGTACATAGTTAGTTGTCCTTGTCAATATCATATGCGTTTTCTTATGACGACTGAGGTTTACTAGTGAGATTGTCTACCCACAGAGACATAAGTAGATTTCTGTTTATCGTACATATACATCGTGAGGCCTTCAACTGTTCAGCTATAGCGCCGAACAACCAACGAGGTTTATCGTCAGCCGATGGAGTCAACTGGCTGGTAGTAAGGTGTTAGCTAATAAGAAGAAAAAAGGCGAGATCTCATTCGATCGCCCACGGCAAGGTAAGGAAAGCCCCCAAGCATCCCCGTCTGCAGCGCTAGGGTCTTACCAATAAAATTGAAGAACGGCCCTTCTAGACTTCTTCGTAGGGAAAGTAGGTTTCGTGTTTTCGAGGTACGGACCAGATTTAGTTTCTTTAGTTTCGCTCGTCCCGAGAAATAAGCCAGGTGCTGCTCAAAGTTCTCACATCGCACCTTCCTAGGAAAACATCCAAGATCTTTAAGTTGCGAGACTTCCAATGTACCGATTAAGGTTGTGTGAGTGTAAATGTTATATCTCAGAGATGTGACTTCATAATACATATGATGCAATAAATTTACCTAGTCAATACGGAAAGGACGCCTGGTCATATTCCACCTTTTTTCGGGTCTCTGCCTTTCTATTGTTTCCACCGACTTACACAACATTTGAACCTGACAACCTCACCCACTGGAGCTCACTCTGCTCGCCCTACTCACCAAAATTTTAGTGTGTTGCCTACCAGCCTAGGTACCTCTTAGATTCGAGAAACATCTCTCAAGGGATGCTTGACCAGGACCCGTGGATTGAAATGCTTCCTATTTTTTGAATCACGCGAATCAGATTATAAGATAATCCTCAATAGGAACGCAAGCCGGTCAATCTTGGATCGCCCATTGTTCCTTTTTAGGCGGAACCCTTGACGCGAAACGCTCCCTCGGGCTTCCTCAACTCTCCGTTTGGTACTGTGCAGCGCTGCGCAAACCCGTCCTGGCCCTACAGGCCCTAGCAGCTTAGCAACGCAAACTACACTACTTCAACTTGTCTAGATTCTTGGCTGCTGCAAGCTCCCGCTGTCTCTCAAAACGCCTTCTTTTCCTCTCTATTCGTTTTAATAAAATCAAATTGACGCTATCATTAATTCCTCACATTGAATCATGCGAGATTCCCTTCTGTTTCACCATCATCTTCAGCCTTAACACCGCGTCCTTGTAATCAACCACTAGGCTTTGGTCCAAGACGTCTCGACCATCAACCTTTAGTCTTGGCGTACCCGTTCATCTACAAGTGGCAGTTCCAAAGCGTCGACTCCATTTTAAGAAGAGAAGGGGAAAGAGAAAGGGGGATATTTCATTTGACGTCACACAGAGCATCTACAAATTCGAAATATGATTGAGAGCATGTTGCGTCGTTGCAAATCGTAAATCATCGACGATTGCCGCCTTTTATCACCCTCCAACGTAGGCCCTCGGGCAATTTTTTACGATGCGAGACCCCACCATGAAGACCACCAGCCTTCCTAAGAAGTTCCTAAGCCGCCGCGAGAAGAATAGTCACCGTCGTGGTAGATCATCTGATCCCGCCCATAAGGTAAGGTGACATCGGATCTGTCAACTCTGCATCTTAACATTATCTGTGCTAATTACACCATTTCTTCCCAGCATCGCCCTCTATCCTCCGAGTCCTTCTTTTCCCTATTCAAACCGGAATCTACCAAACAATCTGCGAATGCCGACACGGAGCGAGAAAAGGAAGCGACCAAGGTGCGTCTGCACGCCGTCGATATTCACTTGCGCTTCAGGTGACCTGACCTTTGACTCGAACAGATCGACGACATACGAAAACGAATTGCTGACCTAGATTTCCCCGTCCTCAACGATGATCAGGTCCGATATGTGCTCCATTCCAAGTACTCTTCCGGCGATGTCGAAAAAGCTATCGAGCTACTATCGTTACAGCAGACATCCCTCTCCGGCAAGATTATTAGCTACAACCCCGCCGTTCACATGCTTGGGGCTGAAAATCGAGGGAACGTAACTTGCTATCTCGACGCCTTGCTCTTTGCCATGTTTGCGAAGCTTGAGTCTTTCGAATGCATGCTCAAAAATGAAACCATGGAAGAACCACAGAGGAAACTAGCCGTACTGCTACGACTTTGGGTAAACATGTTGAGAAGCGGGAAGTTAATCGAAACAGACATGGTAGGCGACATTTCCAACCTGTGTGATCGTGGTAGGACTAATTTCAAATTAGACGGAACATATTCAAGATGCGTTAGCAGCATGTGGTTGGAGAGAAGCGCAATTGTTAGAGCAGCAGGACACGTCTGAAGCCTTTGCATTTATAACAGAGACCCTTCAGCTGCCTCTCCTTACTTTGCAGGTCGACTTATTTCATCAGGGCAAGAATGACGATGCGGATCACAAAGTCGTATACGAAAGGCTCTTGAATCTTGCCGTGCCGCCAGATAATGATGGTAAAGGCATTAAGTTAGAGGATTGTCTAGAAGAATACTTCAACTCGCAGGTTGATGTTCTCAGAGATAGCCTTGACGAGAAGAAGGCAGCGGAAAGATCCAACACGATATCAAAATCTCTATCTCCTACTACTTCGACCGAACTAAAAGATACTATCCGAATTGTCACTGAGGAAGACCAAAAAGACGAAGCTGAGACCGGTCCTTATCTAGAGCGAAGATGGACAGTCTCTCCAGACTCCCACTCCCTTAACCGTCAAGCTGACGAAGATACGGAAGCTTCAGGATCTCAGCCAATTTTACACCCGCATCGGAGCCGAACAGAAAGTATCATTCAACGAGTCGTGCTCGACGAGCAAGGAAAGCCGACCGAATCAGATGCAGCAAGCTTATTCCAGAGAGCTAAGAGAACTGCCTCTGTTGTTAGAGCTGTGACAATACCTGCTTGGCAGTTCTTTAGATTAATACGTATGATAGAAAGCCTGTTACCTCTTAAATTCTATGAAACTAAACTATGTTATAGCGTGGCACTCACCGGCGAATAAGGAGCCAGAAAGCGATTTAGAGGTTGCTCGACATTTTAACCAAAAGCCGGTTGTTGGTATCTGTCTAAAGAGATACATGATAGATGAAAGGGGAAACATGAAGCGACAGAATACGTACATCGATATCCCTGATAGCTTGCGACTGCCTCATTTCATCGTCGACGAGAGACAGGTGGAAGAAAGTGGTCTTGCTGCCGACTACAAGCTTGTGCTCCAATCTGTAGTATGCCACCGAGGGGATTCGCTACATTCCGGGCATTATGTTTCATTTTGTCGAGTCGCCCCTAAGCTTCTCACTGATAACCGCAGACATGATAGCGACCCCCCTCCGGATTACGAAGAGGCACAATGGGTCAAATTTGACGATCTTGCGACTGAGCGAGTCACTCTTGTTGATGATATCAAGCAATCGCTTAAGGAAGAGATGCCCTACTTATTGTTCTATCAGATTGTTCCGATAGTAGAGGTAGCGACCAGCTCAACAGAAGGCACGGACGTAGAACCACCATCCTACGACGATGCTGCGCTTAATCTAACAAACTCCGAGACATCAGCAGCGCAAAGCCAGGACAAGCTCACAGTCTCTCGCAGACCCAGCAGTTACTTTGATAACTTAGTTGTACAACCATCAACTAATAGCAGCAGCATACGCTTTTCATCTGAATTAGAGCGACCACGCCGCAGCTTTGCAGATGAGGATGGGTTCCTCAGCGTATCCCGCCGAGGGAGTATCTACAATGATTCAACTGTCCCAAGCCCGGCTGCAGTATCGGAGGCGCCTTCGCCGGCTGTCACACCCGGAGAAGAGACCACGGCGCAGAGACTTAGTCGGGCTGCTGCAAGATTCAGAGGCGGTAATAAGAGTAGACCTCAAAGCCAGGCTGGCGATGGTCGAAAGAGTTTGACAGCGACGAGGTTCGGGGGCTTCATGAAATCGAGCAAAGAACCACTGCGAGATTCGATATCTACGGAAGCTGAAGACGACTACGAATTTGTCGAGAATGTTAGTAGAGACCCTGCAAAAGAGAATGGGTCAGATGCAACGCCTACGCAGAAAAGAGGGAAATCGAAACAACGAGCGGATAAAGGGAAAGGGAAAGATAGCAAGAAAATGAATTTACCGGATAGGGAATGCATTGGTAAGTATATTACTCTATCTTCACCCCAACTGTGTCGGAGAATTTCCTGTTTCTCCTTCAAACCTAGAGAATTGTTCACGCTAATCCTATGCTATAGTGCAGTAATGATATTATTTACGCAGTTGGGTTGGTCTGATTGATTTGAGAAACAAGATACCCGGCAGGCGTTGGCAATACAGAAGATATGCCGCGAGGAACATAAAAACGGCACGGCTGGTTTGTAAGCATACGTCGGTAACGAGTTGATTTTTGGTCTGAAAACTATGGATTGCATGGGCATGGAGTGCTAGAGGACAAGTAGCCACTGGACAGCATTCAAAAGGCGTTTTGAGATTTGATGAAGTCGTAGGAGACGCGGTTTTTGTACTGTGTAATGAAGCTCATTAGTGATACGAATTGGTCGTCTTGACGAACAATAATTTAATGACTGGAAAGGCATGTTCATCCCTACTTGTGCTTTAGGTGCTGGATGATAGTTGTAACATCCGTCAATATGAACGAATCACTTCGCTGCAATTTACCTAGGGTGATAATTCATATAACCCCCTATAGGGTGACAGGGCATACTATATTGCACATGCATTCATTCTAACAGGAAGCCGAGGGAATTAGTCGAGGTTTCAAGATGAGAACGTCGGCATCTCCTTCCCTCTTCCCCCCTTTCCCTGCCGATGCTTACAGTCGGGAGCAACGGCGGAAAACCGGCATCAGCGCCGCTAGATACATAAGATGCAGGTCGGGGCGGGGTGGGGAGACAGGAGCGGGCCGCGGCTCCCCGGATCTATGAAGTACGTTGGGCTTCGGCGGATCTAGCCGGGAGTGGGTACGGGTATACGTGTCAATCCTTATACCGAAGAGTTCGGTAAAGCTTAAACCTAGGTACGTCAGTACCTACCTAGATCGAGGTAGGTGATAATGGCTAAAGGGGTGATTGGATGGATGTTGATCCTAGTGAGAAAGGTTGCATCTTATTAGCTGGCCATTAGCTAGATTTGGAACAGGGGAGAGTCGGGAAATTGGTAACTCTATTGTTTATTCTTGGTTTTATATGCTGCATATTCCGAAATCAGATACAAGCTACCTATATGTATACTTAGACATCTGACTGGATGGTCGTAATTTTATCATGGTTATCTTAGAGGCAGTATCAAGACGGGTCTGATCCCTTCCCCTAGATATTTGAAGCTTTTCTTTTGTTAGATTATTAGATGCACCACTGGCAGGAGATAAAGTTGAGGTATCAATTACCTACCTGCAAAATAGTATACAAATACATAGTAAATTGTAAGTTTGATATTGCTACGCTATCACAGGTTTGTCCGGTATCACAAAAGACAGCAACCTATTTGCAATGTCGAATCATATAATAGTCATCTATTCATGAACACACTTATCATAATACTGCCTAGAATCATGTTTATACAGAATTGTAGGGCAGAATGTATTAGTGTGCCTGTTTCCCATGTCTGTAAGCAGCCACGAAGGGTCCCGGTCAGAGTTAATCTTCATCGGTAATTCTGTCCCTTACGGCCTCCGCCGCTGTGTTTACAACCTTCTCCGGTGGCTTTTCGACAACGATAGGGGGTAGTGCAGGTGCTGAAAGGCCGCCGCCCGGTAGGGGCACTGGAGTGTCACTAGCGCTAGTGCTGTCTGGTACGGGTATACGTATATCTTCTGGGGAACCAGGAACTGTCCTGGGATCGAGGCCGGCGATGTGAATACGTTTGGCATCGTTCTGGTACGCTCCCGGGATGACCTCGATAATCTCGTTCCGCGGGAATTTAAGATTGGGGATATCCATGGTGCTGCAATGCATCAGGTAAGCATAGAGTACGCGCAGCACGCTCTCATGAGCTATGATTAGCAGGTCGTTTTGCTCGCGTTCAAGCTCCAGGATGATTGGTTCAAGCCGTACAGCAAGATCATGATAAGATTCAGCACGGGGATAACGGTGGTGGTATGGGTCAAGTTCATGCTTCTCGACTTCTTCGGGATATAGACGGCGGATAGCACGTTCGCTGAGCCTTTCGCATACTCCTGGGTTGATTTCGGCCATCTGACTACGCTGACGAACTTTGTATCCGAGGTCCTTGAAGACGTCCGCCGTCTGCAACGTGCGCATACGTGTTGAGCACCACACTGCTAGTGGGCGTAAAGGCGCATTAGGCCCATGCGATGCTCGCTCTTGTTCGCGATGCTTGATTACCGTCTCGGTCATTACCTTAGCATACTTTTGCCCTTCCTCGGACAAGGGCGCGTCTGCCTTAAAACTTTCTTCTTCCATCGCTGTGCCCGGTCGAACAAAAAATGTTGCTCTAGACTTGATGTGGGTGTTGGTTAGGTAGAAGACGATACGGTGAGAGAGATAGTTGAAGGATACGTTGTTGTAGAAGAACTTCTGGCCTGCGTTGATCATCTTGATATAATTTAGTTCTTTTTCGTCCATCGTCTCAAAAACAGGAATTTTGGTTTCCATGCGCTCCAGGTAGAGCTTCGCGGCTTCATCGGGGTCCATGTTGGCAAACTACAGATATCAGCCGCAGTCAAACAAAGAAGAATCCTGATCCATACATCGGGAGAGCCGATTTTGACGTTACGTGCGTTTTCTCTAAGTAGATTATCGTCGTCGACATATGACTCTAGAAATAGAGTCTATACTTGTTAATCAAGAGATTTTATCATCGGATGTCGGTTAGATATAGTATCCTACCTGAACGTCATGCTTTGCAAACTCCTTCGCCAGCGACCGACGACCGCTTGCAGTGGGATTGACCGCGTCATATATTGCTACTTGGCCGTTTTCATGGTTGAGCCAGCCGTAGATGTCCTCGCGGCACTTCTTAAGGATCTTCTGGCGTAGAACGACGGATGCCGGAGAGGCATTAGGATAGAAGTAGTCCTCAGGTACATGGCCACCTTGACCAACAGTAGCGCGACGGTAGTCCCCAAGGTGGAAAATCCGTGTTTTAACACCCAACCTATAATACATGAGATAGGATTCGTTATATGAGAACAAAAAGCGTACCATTGCAGATATCTTGCTAATGAAACGGCAATGTGACTAAAATGATATTAGTGGTAACCTAATACGATGGATGGGTTGAAACTTACGTTTTTCCTCGAGCAGGAAGCCCGACCATGACAATTGCAATACGACCGGAATGAAAGAGCCTTCCAGACATAGTGCTGTACAGTTGGGCAGGGGCTCTATCGCCATCTTCCGGAACATCATGAATCCCATCGATGAAAGTGCTGCTCTTGCGTCGGTATCTCGGGGCATTCGCGGCAATATCCGCAGTTCTGATCCAATTAGTACCCTTCGTGGTAGTAAACATCGCTATCTCGAACTTGACGCTGCATGTTCTTTGAGGGGACAATGAAACCCAATAGGGGTTATATGGCATGGATCGAAAAGGTGACAACTAAATTCTGTCTTGACAAAGGATATGTCTGCCAATCCCGTGCTTTGGTTGCCTAATAGCCGTAAACAATCCCTTGCATACGTCCTTTTTGTCAAGAGAATGGCAACAGAACTAACCATTATGCTGCCCCTGGCTTGCATTTTGATATCGACGTATCGCAAGCGCGCTCAAACGACAGGACAATCATCAAGCAAGGACAGTCCACTTACAGTAGTGTATCCATGATTTTGACCTGCTTCCAGCAGTCCTTGCTCCTGAATCGCCTAGGTCGTTAAGAGCCACGGTGACGGTTACGCCAACTCGCAGATTAGGGTGTAATCGTTTTCTTCACCTGCAAATAGGCAATTTGAAACGCAGTCGAGTAATACGAAAATTGATGTTCGAATGCGACGGGTTTGGACTTAACAACCTCCGGATTGCGACCAGAAACGTAAAGCCTCACTATAAAGTAATAGCTTACTACCCCTGGAGGTAGACGAAGGCCAATATTTTCAAAATCCGGTGGTCACAGGATGATTTACAGACAGAGTTGGAGGCGAAAAACAACCATCCTTCATCCTTCGATAAACACCAGGAAATTCCGCAGAAGCTCAAAACGGTTGTAGTAATCGCGCAGCCAAATTGCTCATATGAAGCTTGATGCTTGGGCGGAACCCGTTGCCACCACTAGGGAATAAAGCCTTGGACGTAGTTCCTGAAAGATAAGGTTATCCAAGAAGAGAGAACTTCGAGTTTCTTGAAACTCACTCATGCGAAGTGGGTTTAATGTAGAGATGAGGATTTCAATTATTCCTTTACTAACGTCACATGCGGGAAGTACGTACATATACACACTCTGCAAGTGAGTGGAGCCCCGGGAGTTTAGGTAAGGTTCGCGGTTACGTAATACCCTCATAAGGGCTCTGGAGCGGTGCTAGGATTATTCCGATCAATCAAATGTGGGGATCTCAAAGACAAGGATGTTGATCTCACTGCCGCAAAAACCCCAAGGAACGATTTTTTTCTCAAGTCACCCGCAAGCTAATAAAAAACGACATCTTGACCCAATTGTCGGGAGCTCACAAGACCTGGGAAGCTAGGTAGCATCCGTCGTCACCACACATTTCGTCTGGCAATTTCTTCATTTTTATGACGACAGCAAACTTCTAAACTTCCCTTTAGACTCGGCCGAGTTCTCTGTCGTCATTCCTTATCAAAGACGAAAAAAAGGCGAAAGACGTCAGTTTTGCCCACAGCCCACAGTCCGCGGCACCACATTCCACAATGGCCCTCAATATCGAGTCGCTGCCAACGCTGCCGTCGCAGTCGCAATCGCAGTCGCAGTCGCAGTCGCCCTTAGGATTTTTAACAGCCAATCCTTTAGCTAATGCCATATCCGATGCATACAATTCATTCTCTGAGCGACGAGCCAAGCTCGGCTTGTCCAACCCCGGTAGTGTCGAGACGATCGCAAAGGAAGTGCAGCGTGAAGTTTCCCTCAACAATTACATGCATTCGGGTATAAGGGCAGATCTCACGAAGGTTGTCAGCCTATCGCCGTTATTTCAGGTCTCCCATCAACTCGCAATGGGCGAACATCAGAATCCCTATGCCTTTGCGGGGCTCTTTGGTACCAACAAGGTCGGTGTCTTCATACCAAAAATCAAATCTTCTGGTTGCGGCAAACGAGCGTCTTGTTGATATATGTTATTCTATCTTCTAGGTCTTCCTGCAAGGAAACATAGACAATTCTGGGTTGCTATCTACGAGATTCAACTACCGATGGAACTCTTCACTAGTCACCAAGTCTCAGTGCCAGATAGGCGCTCAGGATATGGCCTCAATCGAGCATGAGTATACTGGAAGCGACTTCACTTCTTCTGTTAAGATGTTGAACCCTTCTTATCTCGAAGGCGGATTGACTGGTATATATATTCTTAGTCACCTTCAGTCTGTTACCCGTAAACTTGCGCTCGGTATCGAGGCGGTCTGGCAACGAGCTGCACTCAACCAACCGCCTGAGTCTGCCTTGTCGTACTGCGCAAAGTATAAGTCAGATGATTGGATTGCGACTGCACAGCTGCATGCTCAAGGCGCTTTAAACACAACGTACTGGCGAAAGCTGTCGGATAAGGTCCAGGCTGGCGTCGATATGACTCTTCAAGTCTCTCCCGGCCCCGGAGGCGTGATGGGAGGTGGTCTACAGAAAGAGGGCGTTACAGCTGTCGGCGTGAAGTACGATTTCCGCATGTCAACATTCCGAGCCCAACTCGATTCTAAGGGAAAGCTGGGTTGTATACTAGAGAAGCGCGTGGCACCACCTGTCATGATGTCATTCTGCGCCGACGTAGATCACTATACCGTAAGTCTGTTGAACGTCTTACCACGGAGTAATTTTTCTAATTTCCTTCTAGCGAAACGCCAAGGTCGGCCTCGGAATTACTATCGAGAGTGGTGGCGACGAGCTACAGGAGCAACAAGAAGCTCTTGGCCCTCAGGCGTCACCTAATATCCCCTTTTAAGCCACCATCTCTGTCACATTTGGATGACTTTCTCAGCATAGAAGCTCCCCCCTCTCGCCACCGCCTCCTTAATACACGATCTCAGTAATCTGGTGCCAGAATTCCAGCAATAGTTGCCGGACTGGTGTGCCGGAGACCTCATGCAGCATCAACTAGTTTCCCACCCCTCTTGTCTTATTAAGCATATTCCCTGCTTCTATATGCGACACAGAAGTCGCTAGGTGGGTTGGATGCTGCATCAAAATTCACGACTTTAGACTTTCTTTTCGCACCGATCACCAATTATTCAACAATTCCTAGTATTGAGCTCGTATGAGGCCGAGCATCGTCCGTCTTAAAAGGAGTACCAGGTGGCAACGCGCGAAAAAAAGGTGTACGAATAGGATTATGGCCACTAGAAAGGCACCGGGGATGCATTGGTGATATTATACGCGATGAATCGATGATGGGGGTGCGTGGCATTGGTCGTCAACGATACTTCGAGACGTCTTTCGGAGAGGCGCTTGTAATTCTATTTGGGTACTGTACATAGTAACCCATGCCGTGTATAACCCCATGACCAGTGACCACGGCTTCTCCTAACGCATTTGGCAGAATTAGCAGAAAAGGGGATAAGCCAACGTCGGACCCCAAGACGAAACGGCAAGGTGAATCCGCAAGCCTCGCCGCCGTATAATTGTGTCATGATAGGCGCATAGTGTTCGTGAACCACACAAGTACCTATTTTAGAGATATTCCATTGAATGCGGAGGATTCTATGTCTCAGGATCCAATCAGTGCAGCATTCCGCGATGGCTTATTGTGACAGAAGACCGCTTATGATCGCCTCAAATCATCGGCCACCAGTGTCATTTTATAAACTCAACCCCCCCTTCCCCCCCCGCTTTGCTAAATAGGATATATGCCTAGGTAGTTTGGGGTGACCATAGCAGCCACGTAACTAAGGGCTCCTGCAGAAGCCCCGAAAGACAACCCTGTTCTCACCGGTTCAGAAATCTCAGATAGAGGTGTAGCCCTACACCAACCAAGTCATGATTTCGGACGCCACAATATTACAGCGGTCGGAGTTTGGAACGACCGCTGACACGCACTCACATATATGTAGTAAGTGTGGCGGTCAATAGGAGCACGTAGGTACCTAGGTTAAGGGCATCTCGCACATCATGATAGTGAAGACAGGACAAGGCGAGTTCCATTTCCTGGTTCAAGTCCTAAGTCTGTCTTCTGGTGTATGGGCGCCTAACCTATTCTTTCCATGACACGTTGTCACTGTATGTATACTAGGTAGCTTAAATTGGAATATCTCATGATCAAATAACAAGAAAAGCTTACACGCCCTTTAAACAGCATTGAAATCATACTAGAACTAATTGCATAACGAACATCAAGTAGGTATATCCATACCGATTTTTAAAACATCACTGTGTCCCTCCCCACAGACAATTACCTGCTTAGTTGTCTTCAGGCTTGAGGATATATACCGTTTGGAGCTTCCCATATTTCCGAAAAAGTCTTCCTTTTATACCCAGGGTCCGAAGGTCCAGCCGGGCAATGAAGTATCCATCTTGGGGTATTTCTTCTGCCTTCTCCGCCCATGTTTCCTTCCCATTGCTATCCATGAAGAGGTCCCAGCAGTCGAGGCTTTCTTTTGTCGGTTCGTTGAGAGATAACTCCCAATATTTATGTACCCCTATGTTTGTTAAAGCGGCTCATTAGGACAAGAGATTCGCTCACCATTTTTAACCGTACTATCTTTCTTGATTGTGACGCGGGCTATTCGTGGGTTATATACTAAAGCTCGGTTCGCTAAACGAGGCCATGAAGTAGAATCCATAATATATATGCTAGAAGCGAAACAATTCGGCAATGACTAAAGACTTTCAAGAATGTCTTGGAGTTTCACGAAATATTTTCAACTCGGTTGGTAAGGTATCAACTTTCGTCTTAGGTGAAAAAGGATAAACAGTTATCAGGTTGGTGGCCACGGCATGTATTTAAAGAAGTTGAATAAGTTCGGTGGGCAGCAATCATCACGCCCCCTTTCCAACATCCTTAGGGGGGGTGGCTTCATGCGTACCGTGACCCAGCCACCACCGCTTTGACATGGCTGTTAGCCTCCTGATGTAAGTATGCGGACTCCGAGCGCCAACCAAGAAACATGTCAGACATTATTATTTAGACCGGTCTACTTCTACGCTCACTTAAGTGGAAGCTATTGATGCTAGGTACCTATTATATAGGCTTCCTGCTGGCGCGTATATATATGGACTGCGCTGTACTTAGATAGCTAGTATTAACGTCAACTCCTTAGTTAGCGGAAGATTAGGTACATTATAAGTAATATATAGTGATAATTGCTTAATAGAGCAACCCCGTGAGGGCTGAGGCTCTTGAGACGATTGTACAGTAAATCTAGCCAACCAGAATCAGAATTTCGAGGAGTTGTAGCCTTATACTGACCAATGGGATACCTTTGAAATACTATCATTACATATATCTTATATGTACCTTATTAACACATATGTAAGTATTTTCGTATGCACCCAACATTCCCTACGGGCGAATTCTATGTAACTTGGTAGTATCATAAGGAGCCTCGGTATCTAAGACGTCTCTCTAAGAAGAGGCCACAGTTATGACGAATACAGATAATCCCTCGGAAGCTAGATAGTTGACAAAACTTATTTTAAGAGTAAAGTTTTTTGTTTGTATTATTAATAGGTAGGTACCTGTAGTCCGGTCAATCCGACACTTGGTTTCTGTAGATTTTGCACTTTGTAATAGTGAAGCCGGCCTCATGCAGACGATCGATATTCATTTTCAAGCCGGAAATTGAGGGTGCGGATCGATTTTTCTTCTGCATGGAGGCTGAATATACGGCTTGCAGGCTTTGGAGGAAGGTCTTACAGAACATTGAGCCTTGACACACAGGTGCGTGAGATGTCTATTCAGTTCCGGCTCTTTCATGGGTTAAACTCTCCTACTATATTAACGCTCACAAAATATATATGTAATTCGTCTTCCCCTCCAAATTCTACGATTTAATCAAAACATATCATCATAGTAATAACAACGTTATTGCTACAAATATATTGACTTTAGGACGACACCCTTGAGCTTATAAATTTGATTTTACGTAATAACACATGGCAGGTCAATCATCGTCAGAAGAGGTCTATCGTATCGATCAGACGCCTAATCAAGACCCTTGGATGACTAGGCATGCTCTTACATTCGGTTCGTTAACACTCTGCACATATAGATTAACTCGACAATGTTGTTAACCTGTAAGTCTAGATGGGGGCGGGGTGAGAGGTTATTTCAGCCTCTTGTGCATTCGGCGATTGATGCATGATATTGCGCAGGAAGAGAGGAGAAGAGATGCAACGGACCCTCTAGGTGAAATCCCAGAAGAAGGGATAACAAGTTTCTATCCTTGCCAGGTGCCACCCAACGTGTCCCACCTCCAGATATACTCCCCATTCTTGCCATGTCATTACTTCGATTATGTTGCCGGGACATCAACTGGAGGGTAAGACGTTTCTTCCCCTTGGCAAATAGCTGAACTAATAGTGGCTCAATTAGATTGATCGCAATAATGTTAGGACGTTTTAGAATGCCAGTGGACGATTGCATTCATGAATATCAGCATTTAGCTGGTAAGGTTTTTGGTCTCCCTCGCCCCCTCCACAGTTTGAATACCTTTGGAATAGTCAGCGTTTGCAAATATAGTACCAAAAACTTTAAAAGGGTAATCAAGGATGTGGTTCGAAAAAGAGAGGAATTAAAAGATTGGAACCCTCAAGATGCTCGGTTTGACATTGAAATTGGGCTTTGTCAGGTGTGAGTATCTATTATATTCGTGGATACATATCCTGAACACCACTAACACACCGACAGATTCGTCGTTGCAAATAGAACTGGACCCAATGGCACAGTTGTTGCACCCTGGGTCTTCCGTTCGTACGAAATGAGACATGATGCATCGAGAGCCAATCGCGGCGGTAGGCCAGGAGACATCTGCGTATGGCAAGTTGCGCGAGCGACTACGGCGGCGCCTATGTACTTTAAACCATACGAACTCAAAACTCATGGTAACTTGGATGGGTTAATGGGACGTCCGCCCTTCCACAGAGACACAACAATGAATATCGAGGCTAGGTCATTGCAAGGCAATGTGAACTCGACCGGGCATAAGGAAACAACAGGACCGCCTGTAGTGAGACTCGAGGACGGCGGCTTTGGGACCGCTAACAACCCTGCCAAGTATATGTTAGATGAGCTCAAAGAACAATTACCTGAAGGAGTAAGAGTAGGAACCTTCGTCAGTGTCGGAACAGCTCGACCGAGAGAAACGGCAAAAGGCCCACCATTATTGCGCTTGATAAAAGGTGCTATACACCGTCTTGGTGATCCAGAAGGAACACACGAATACATGATGAGACAAGCGACGGATCCCAATGCGCCATTATCATATTACCGATTGAACTCGCCAGGGGAGCCAAGTGGTGTTGAGATGGACGATTGGAAGCCAAGGGCTACGGGTGAAGATACAATGGAGAGGATGAAAATTGCGTTTAATCATTATTTCGTTCAGCCAGAGGTATCTGACTTGTTCAGGACATGCGCAGAGAAGCTCGTTGAAGCAAGACGGGCTCGAGTTCGAGCAAATAGGCCTAAGTGGGATCGATTCGCCTTGGGTAGGCATTTCTACTGTAAGAAGGAGTGGAACTGTCACGATGAAGTCCAGCGTGAAATCAACGAGGTCAGGTTCAGGGCTCACCTCAAAGATGCACACGGAATGCGCAATGAAGACATTGACGATGCGGTAAATGGCTGTAAACATCAGTGGAACTATCGGGGGTTAGCTGTGCCGAAAAATGGCTTATTGTAAGAGGCATTAGTGTCGAAGACAGCGGAAGGCAGTCAAGTATTCGATCATTTCAACACCCTAGATGTGCTTCTCCCAGGCCCTCTCACACCACTCCCAAAATGCCTTCGCCTTGCCTCCTTCCTCCGCCCCTTCCCGCAGCACGTCTGGCCGCGCAACGGGTTTGATCCGACCCCAGGGCCAGATGTACGCCCCGTTGCCGCCCTCACCTACTAGTGGCGACAGGCCCGCGAACAGCATGGTGTACGCACCGTACCGCGTCTCGTACAGAATAAATGTTTTGAGAAATAGCACAAGCAGCCACGGCTCGTTATCGTAAAAGCTCGTGTACAGATTTCCCGGGTTCTGGCAGACACTCATAATGCCGTCCGCCCCCCATCGTCGGGCGCCTTCGGCCGCCACTACATCAGCGTTAATTATTAATTACCATATTTCGAAGGAGTTTGTGAGATATTTGTTCCCGACAAAAAGGAGTAAAACATACGGAACCAATTTCCGGCCTTCGAGGCCGCATAGTCGAGCCGACTCACGTCCTCGGGACGCGGGCTGTCAATACGCGTAAAGTCGATCCCTCCTGGAGGAGCGGTCATCTCGATGTGTAGGGAGCCGGACCAGACAATACGGACGCTAGCCCGGGGCGTATCGGGCGACCGCGCGGTGGCGCGCAGGACCGGAAGGAGCTCTTGTACGAAGAGTAAGGGGGCCACGCAGTTAGCTCCCACGTGAACTTCAAGTCCCTGCTTAGTGACGCTCTCGGCGGGACAGCCCACACCGGCATTATTCCACAAGACGTCGAGCCGGGTCTCGCGAGAGGTAAAGGTGGAGGCGGCGGGCTTCACCGTAGCAAGGTCCGTGATGTCAAGGTAGAGCGTCTTGAGCGTTGCAGGGGTTGTGGCGTTAGATGACGCAGCGGCAACTTCACGGATGGCTTTGTCCATTTTTGCAGGCGAGCGGCCGGCGAGGTAGATAGTGGCGCCGGTGGGGTAGAGTATCTTTAGCAAGGCCAGGCCGATGCCCGAGTGGGCCCCGGTGATGATAAAGACTTTTCCTACTTGGCTGCCGGGTTTGACATCCTTGTCGGTAAATGTTGGCCTGGGGGGAAAGAACTGCTGCCACAAGGCGGAAAGGGACATGGCGACCGACTTCCCCGGTGGACGAAGAAAGTTTGACCGCGTAAAGGCTGGAGCTGGTGTCGCGCACGAATAATGAATTGAACCTTCCCTTCTACTTATGAGCCAAGAGGGAAAATGCAAGGAGGGGTTGGCTAGCTGCAGTTGGCACTTTGTCTCTCCTGTTGGTCCTGTTGGAAGCGTATCCCTTTGTGTAACATGTGTTACCATTTTAGTGGTCTTATGAGCGACAGGGTTGGGTTGAGAGTGCCTACCAGTACGTAGACAACTCAACTTCTGCTGTAACTATGAATACGATATGGCATACAATAACCTTTACATATTGTTGTTAGGCTTTATTAATTATTTGTTCATTTCCAAATAGACATTGTTCTTCATATTACCAACCGCTGTCCAAGCATCCAATCCCAACCCCATTAATATTGTAAGAAAACCACACCCAGTCATCCATCGCTATGAGACATCAATCTCTAGATCAACAACCCGGCCAAATATTCTAGATATCCGTATGAGAAGTGTCCCTTTTCCACTTGTTCTTAATCAGACAGGAACAAGTAACCCAAGGGCTTCAATACATAGACTAGCTGAAGCTTCCCGCAGCGCCTATAGAATCTGCCTCGCGTTCCAATATTTCGAAGATCTAATCGACTGACGAAGTGTCCGGTACTCGGTGACTCTTCTTCTGGCGTCTGTGCCCACATCCTGTCCCCGGCTTCGTCGGCGTAGATATCCCAGCGCTCGGAGTCATCACCGAGACGGACAATCCAATATTGATCAGGACCTAGTTGTATTAGTACATTGACTTCATATGCATGGTTTGAAAAGTTGGGTAATTACTTAGCGTAATCTCGCTAATCCTTTTGACGGTGATACGGTGTGCCTCTCTGTCGTATTCCAGCACCCGTTCCTCAAGCTGTACGCGTGAAGTTCTCCTCGGCATATCTAGGAGGTATAGCGTTGACCACGAGCGATTGCTTAGGGATGGCCTCAGATAAGTCAATGATAGGCGAGCTAAGGTTAGATCTCTAAAGCAGTCGTTGCTTATGTCTAGTACGGCTGGAGGTCAAAATAAGAGAAGTAGGAAATGGCGATAGTCAAACTAACAATAATATGATAGCTCTATTGTTGCGATGAGGAATAAAGTAGAAGGATCGCCTGGGAAGACATGCTCGTTAAATAATCTAACAGACCCTATCTATTGTTAAGTACGATATTGAATCATCGAGAAACAATTCTGGGTAGGTTAGGTGATACTGGAACCCAGCAACCTAACCTCCTACGCTGGAAATCATATGTTACCTTACTCTATTTTCGAGTCACTCCCAGATAGTAGCCATCATTTGAGCCACATAGTACAGATATCTTTCGTCACAGTCAAAAGGAGAGGGACAGAGTCTTTGAAGTATGCCCTTCCTTAGTTGCTGCTTTTGGCGCAAATCGTCTTCTCTTGGTATTGTACAATGTCTCTATTTTACTACTTAGTAATTATTAGTATAAGCACTGGAAAATTCCTTAGATGGCCGCATTTTTGGTTTATATTTATGTTACTAAAACCTTTCGTTCTTGATTTAGTTATATTTTGGTTGGCACAAATAGAAGTTTTCATCATATCATGATAGATATATTATTAACTACCATACAGAAGACATTTACATAGATATCTATCACATATGCATTAAATTTGGCCAGTAAAATCTAATTTGCCGTTTAGATATTTGTCACCAACTTTTTCTTCTAGTCATAAGTCTAGGACTTCAAAATTTCTACCAAGTTTTATATGGCCATAATATCTTCCTAACCCTTTTTTATGCCTGACAATAGACGGAACTCATGGCATTCCTATTCGAGCTTGGCAAACTTCCGTACCGTCCTCGGCATGGCCTATATCGTATGGAGATCGTCTCGCAGCCCCGTATAGCCGGTAGTTAAACATTTAACCCGATGATCATCACCTTGACGCGGCTCTTTTCGGGGACGACCCCCTTTCTCGAATCATATCGCAAACATCAAGCTGGGGTAACGTAGCGCGCACTTTGGTACTCACCTAGCTTACAAAGTAGGCCAGTCAGGTAATTTGGTACAGTAAATACAACTCGCAGAGAATTGTAGGTAGGAATTGGTACGCGCTATTATTCATTGATTTGTTGTCATACTTAGAAAACTCCTTGTCGACTTGGAATAATTCTTGCAATAATTAAGACAGCCTGCAACTTCATGCTCAAACACAATTCGGCTATATCGGCACAAGTCATCAGGCACTCATAGATAGAATAGTATACAGAGAAGATACATATAGTAAATATAAATACATACGTAATAAATCACCAGGTCACATATTCATAGTGTCGCAATATCCCGTCGGCATTTACCCATGAAGATCGTCACTGCATTCATGGGCTGACATTTGAATTGGGCTAGTAGTCAGGCACGAGAAGAAACTTGTGACAATTGACCAGAAACCAACGAATAGGGATACTCACTCACAATAAGGAATGGGTTTCCAAATGCCTGGAAGATATTAGTCTTCGTCTCCACAACTGTAGACCATTCCCCCTGAACGATGACTTCTCCACAACAGATATATAGGCAAGTACTTGCCCCTGGTGGACCTGGTACCTCGAAAATCTCAACATCATCTCTGGAGAAGACCCTATTTTCTTCCATCGACGTTTCCTTTCACGACGATCCACAAATCCATTGAAAAAGACGTAAAGTTTCGAAGGTATGGAATCAAAGCTTCTTGTCGCGACCATCATCCTGGCTTCGGGCGCCCAAAGCATGGCACTTCCGGGTAGTAGACTTCAGCTTGCTCCTCTAGATGCCCACGCCTCAGATTGGGTGAGCACAAACGTCTGTTTCGTCTTAAGGAGATGCTGACGGTGGGATGATAGGGACCAGATCTCGCTAGCGCCTATCGTCGCGATGAGTCCAAGCAGGAGTCGCCACAGTCCCCAAGGCAGGAGACATCAACCGTATCTAAACACTAAGCTTAACTGATTGCGTATGTCCCCACAGAAGGGGTGAAATAGGAGTTGAATTGAAAAATACTTAAGAGTGTTAATCATCCATTGTACTGAATAAAAACCCATATCGATGCCGAGTCTGAGGATCTCGTATGCATCGGATAAATGGCCCAGTACGAGTAATTTCGAGGATTAGAATCATGGTTGAGAATCAGATAGAATATTGGTATCTTGTTTCAGTTTTCCTGACTTCAACATCATCGTGATTATATCGTGATTAATGAATAGGGGTACGATTGTTCAGGTCAAAAGTTTCGCATATGAACCACATTTCTTGCTTAGTGCGTAATTGGACAACTAACAACCTATCGAAAAGATTCGAACCTAATAGTAATCTATCCACCAATTTTAAATAGATAACTTCTGTAGCTTAGAGAGCTTAGCTAGGTATCAAAGATTATGAGCAGATGCGCGAAACCTTCGCAATGGAAATAGATGCAAGATCCAGGAAAAGGGGGTGCCAAGAAATGAGATAAAGCTGTCCTTGCTGATAAGAACCGATAAGAATTTATCGATAAGGAATCCTCATAGCTCTCCAAAACGTGGCCTCACAACTTATTTGTCTTGGATCTTACACAACAAGAAGAATGAAGACGGACGAGGACAATCGTAACAATTGATCCATAAATAATAGGCGACGAACTTGCAAAGCTTTGGGTATATGCGACCAGCCGGAATCTAAATACATCTACCCCCGAACTCCGGGGTCCTAATCTAGCCTACGATGTACAATTCCCTAACCCGGATACAAAATGTATTCGGCTTCTTCACCACCGTCGCCTTCGTCGTCGCCGCCCTGATCGCCGCTTCCGACTTCACTGCGCCGCGAACCCCGAGCGCCACCATAAAGCCGACCAACGTCCAGGTGTAAGAGTTTCCCCTCGCTCTTTCTCCCTCCTCCCCTCCTAACCAACAAACGCAATGCGCAAGCGAGATAGAACGGAATAGCTAACCGCCCCACCAAAATATAGTGTCAAGGGCCGGCCGCACTACTACAGCACGAAGAAGGAAGAATACGCCATCATCAGGTTCTCGCTCGACGCCGACCTGTCCTCGCTCTTCACCTGGAACACCAAGCAGCTCTTCGTCTACGTAACGGCCGAGTGGCCGGCGCCCCCCGCCGGCGCCGACGGCCTCGCCACGAACCAAACCAACCGCGCCGTAATCTGGGACTCTATCATCACGAGCCCGAGCGCCGACCACCTGAGCAACCTCGGCCCCGCCTCGCTCAAGAAGCTGCGCAAGAGCGCCGCCGGCAAGAGCATAGATCCGAACCGGTAAATAACGACCCGCCCCCCCTTCCCCCACATCTCTTTCCATTGAACTTTCTTAAGCTAGAGAGAGAGAGAGAGAGAGAGGAGGGAGGGAGAGAGAAACAAGACATAGCTAACAAGAATTGCAGAGGCAAGCTCTCCCTCAAGAACCAGAAGCCGAAGTACCAGATCACGCACCCGACCGGCCGGATCGCCGAGACCGACGACGTCAAGCTGCACGTCAACTACAACGTGCAGCCGTGGGTCGGCATCCTCACCTGGAACCAGGGCTTCGACCTCGGCCTGTGGAAGAGCTTCGCCGGCGGCGTCAGCAAGGCCTTCGAGCTGCCCGCGATCAAGAAGAAGGACGACGCCAAGAAGCCCAAATAAGGGGCCGGTGTCGTAGCTGTCTGTATTCCTTTTAAGCTAGATATTGATTAAACGTGGCGTTTTGTGGATCGACTTTATTTGCCCATGATGCCATGATTTTCCTTGGTGTCCTGTAAATCATAATTGTGTGCTTTTCTATTTTAGACGCATATTGGGATCGCTCCGAAGTATATACTTCAGTAGTTATGTACCCCTGGCACCCCTTAGCCCAATACGAGTGGTAAAAGACGGCCGAGAATTATCTACGGCTTGGTGCAATTCGCTTATAGGGTTTGTTGAATAACTCAACGGGAGAGAATGAATACGTGGATTAGAACCCATGAACTGTCTGGCCTTGGTTCTCACATGTCACAATCAACCTCGAGAAACTTCACGAAGACTAAATAGCTGTTTCATTGTGCTTTATTTATTCGCTTTTTTATGTGATCGCGCCGCGCTCGCGGGCAAAAGCCGCCATCCGGCTCTCCGCGAGGGGTATATGGGCGATGCAAACTTTTGAAAACGCAGACCACGTGCGCCGTTCCTATGCAGATATGTACGAGGCCAAGATGATGCCTCCCGATGAACTCCCATCTCCATGTTTACCATCCCGAACCTTTTGAGCACATGGCCATGATAAATTATGTATGTGTCATTAGTCTGACAAATCGACGACAACGCGCGGTTGATCTGGCTCTTGACGTAGCTTAGCTGATGGCATCCTATCGGCGGGGTGCCGACCCGCGAAGAAGGGACTGGTCGTGGGTGTTTCCTCTTGAGTTCGGCTATTACTAGCTGGTCCCTGTCTTTCCTTTACAAGATTATCGAGTATTTCCACTGTGTTGTAAACGGGTTTCGGATTTGTATGGTCACGTGTGGAACATTGTCTCTGCTCTGGGGATGCTGTTGAATCGTCAACGAAGATAGGTCTTGTTGGCGAAGAATCGCCAGAAGAACCGGGAAGCGGTGAGACAAACTTTGGAATTCCAGTTTGTTTGGGCTTTTCGCTATCAGCCACGGTCGAGGAGTCCCTCGTGTCTGACCTGCTCACAACAGGAGACTGAGGAAACGAACCGGGCATATGGATGCCGTTGTCCGAGTCGAGTGTAGACCTATTCTTAAAATCTGAGGCTTTAGGGGTAGGAGACCTCGATTTTGGCTTAGCCACGGTCTCGTTCTTTTTATGGATGATATGGTTCTCTGGAGGTTTAGACGGGCGTTGATCAATGACTTGTTCTTTTGCGGGCGGCGCACTCTGCGGCTCTGCAGTTGGGTTCTTCTTTTTCGGCCCGCTTTTGTTGCGCTTCTCTTCCTTGTGGGCGTCTTCTCGACCTTGCTGCTCCTTCTGAAGCTTGAAAATCACATCTCTAATCTCGTTTCGGAGCTTTGATGGATTAAGGTCCCAGGGAATATCGTTCTCGTGTTGAAGAAGGCTACGGACGAATGTGTCGGGGTCTTTTAAGAACTGCTGTATGTACCCTAGTAAAAAGAGTCCGCAGTCGCAATGATTCGTTTGCTGGGGGACGTTCTTAGCTGTCATACCCAAGGCCCCAGGAGGCGAAATTTCGATGTTTTTCTTGTCCTTGAGCTCTGCAATCAAATACTGTTTAAGGCAACCGCAGGCCGGGGAATGCGTTATCCCTAATGAATCGAGAGTGATGATCCTTGGTTGGGTCGGGTCGTATTTTCGAGGATTTCGAGGACCTATAATTTGCCTCTTGTTGGCTTTCTTTTGTCGGAGAGCACCATTAGGAGGCAAAACTTGCTCTACATCCGCTTGAGGGTCGCTTTTCTCTTTGACTAATTCGATGTCTTGCTCGTGACCGCTCGATTGCGCCTCTTCTTTCTGGTCTTCTGGATCTATGGCTATTGTCTGCTTAGTCTCGGCATCTAAGGGACCTGGGCTTTTGATTGACATACGACTTAGGTGGTTTGTGAGATCGTTCTGTGCTGGCGCGATCACGGCTTCTACATTCATGGGCTCAAGCAGATCCTCATCCTTGGGGGGAACGGTGGACACCTCTCCAGAATTATGGGTATCTTCCTCGATAGTGATCGTATCCGTAGACTGGGCGTCGGAAACCTCCTTATCGGCGGACGGGAGAAATTTCGGTGCATTATAGATTATCGCAACGTACCAGTGAGAATACTCGTTAATCGGGACGATAATATAGTCCTTCGTAAAGAGATCAACCTTCGAGGTCCATGCTTTGACGCTATCGTAGTTGATACCCTGACTCGTTCTCGAGGACTTTAGCTTCTCGTAGAAAAACGTGTTCTGGAAATAAATCCTCTGCGCCAGATCCGGTCTCTCCGCCTCCAATGTATGTTGGAGATATCGTAGGTAGAAAATGAGCACATTGTCATTGAGGAACTGACCCTCGTCTAACCGAGGGATGTCCTCCTTGTCAACAGTAGCTCGATTCTTTCCGTGGGGAGGGAACACTAGAGAGTTACGCCAGTTTCTCTCCCAGCCTTTATTCTGGACTGTCCAGCCTTCGGGCTCAGGTGACTCGGAAGCTGAAGAGGGAGATTTCAATGCAAACGTGGATCGGGTCGTACGTATCGGCCGCTGAATGGCAGGGGTATGGGCATTATCCGGTATAACTGTTACTTCGAGGTTTGACGAAGCCGGATGACCATAAAGTCTCATCAAGTCCTTCGTCTTGACCTGGCTATTCGAAACAGCCGGTCGGCCAATGGGCTTCGCCTGCCTTGCCCGATCTTCAGCGTTATGCTGGATGAGTTTGATGTCATCTCCCACCAGCTCCTGATCCGTAATAACGGTACTTCTTTCAGCTTTGCTCATCAAATTGGCAAATTCCTTGTCAAGCCTAGCCCTGCGAATTCTGTTAATATACGACTCTTAATAGGGAGTACCAAAACCTACTGATCTTCAATGATAGTAATTCTAGGCCGTGATCCATCTTCTCTATCCATCTCCGCCCACTCTTTAAAGTGTTGAATGTCTTCAGGAGATTTAAATTCGACCAACAGCCTAGGACTGGCACTGGTTGACGCATCAAGAGAACGATTTATCGAGACCACGTGATAGTTCGGGTTGGATGGAATCGAAATCGCCGATACTTTCTTCAAGTTGATGGTCAAATATGCGTACTGTTTCAAGATTTCACCGTCTAGATTTGTCGGATGAAGGATGTAGCTCATATCCCGCAACTTTAGAAAGCATTCGTCCACACTACTGGTCTTATGCACTTCATATTTGTAGCGGCCTGAGACAGCCTGCACGATGAGAAGTCTTGAGCTGATGATTTTCTTGGCGCGGTCCAAGGCTAGCTCGCCAGCTGTCGCCTTTGAACTGTCCGGCCTGACGTGAGACGACGTTGAGAATTTCGTTGGCGTGATGTCGCCTCTCTTAGACAAACTTGGTGAAGGGGTAACAGGTCGTTTCGTCAGCACTTTTCCCCTGATATCTTGTGCTTCTGGGGCTAGTTCATCTGGGCTGGAATCCATGCTCTTGAGTTTACCATTCCTCCACTCATGGTTCTTCCGTTCCGTATTTTCTATGATTTTTCCCAATTTCACAGCGGCAGCGGTTGAGCTGTTGACCTTAGCAGCCCCTTTACCACGATCTCCAAAACGTGATGCAAATGCTGTAATAGGTTGCGTGTTCCCTTTCTGAGTTAAGTTTTGCGTTCGTGTTTGGGGAATTGCTGCTTGCTCGGGCGCCTCGATACATTCTACATCTCCATCGCTATCCATGTCAAATTCTTGTAGAGAATTTCTATCGGCGGACTCGGAGGCATCACGCCGATACCTTTTCCTTGATGGCGCTTTGACGAAGCTTTCGACGTTTCGATATTCCGAGACGTTCGGCTGGGATAGATGGACTCCTCTGCTATGAGACGGCTGTGATCTCAATGTCTGCTGAGAGTCGCTGATGTCGTCCAAAGAACGTTTGCGGGGAGTCGGCCTATCGAGCGTTCCATCAACATCCAACGCAAGGGCGAAGTGAGCCTGTGTATGTGTGCGATTCTCTTCGATCTTTGTACGTTTCGCAGGCGGCGGGCTTGGAGGGCGTGGTGGCGATGATCGTACGGGGCGCGACGAAGGTTGGTTTCTTCCACTGAGGTTGTTCGTAGGCACGACTGAACCCAGACCGTTGATCCTCCCCTTCTGAAATAACAGATTAGTATGGTTAGCCTAGAGAGTATATTTACTACCATAACCCACAAAGTGGCCACTCATGTTGCGACCGCCTTTTCCGTGGCTTCGGCTGGCTATGTTCGACTGAGAGTGATCGGTCGTCGCACTGCTCGAACCTCCCCGGCGATCTCGGAAGGAATGTCAGGTGAGGTTGGATCTGTGAAGGGCGTGCGCCTTTGGTTAGAAAAGTCAGCCACCATGGGACGTGAAGCGCCTCTTGGAACTAACCAGTCGACATGCTTGACCTTAGGCTCCTCTCGTTTTCGTAGCATGTAGGTATGCTAATAAAACCCGGCCTATGCGCGTAGGCATCACTTTGTGGTGTAGGCGCAAACGAAAGAACCTTTGCTGCTGCAGAAGTTGGCTGCAAAGATGTTAGTAAAACAAAGTTTGAGCGAAAGAGAAAAAAAAAAAGAGGTGGTGCGTAATTTGGTAGGCGGATGTCTACAAAACGGAAGGAATTATAGTGATGATTCAAAGCGCGATTTCCACTTTCAACGAATTTGAGACAGAAAAAAAAGTAGAGCAGCGGGGTTGCTAATACGTACTTGGAATGATTCGTGATCCACGCCTTCCTTTGGTAGGTTATGCACCTAATAATTCGTACCCGGATGGAGTTTTGAAGCAGTTGCGGCTGCCGGCAGTGGTACCTAGGTACTTATAGCCTTGCATTTAGTAGGCAATTTACGCGGTTAACGCGTTATAGCCCGCTTCAAACCTCGCTAAAGTGTATAAATTATATAAATTTTAAATCTCAAAAATTCATTTCATCAATTATTTCAAAATATACAAATATATTCTCATGAATAAGAATTACTTTTACTTAACATATCCTCGGGTTTACCGTGATTATTGCGGTGACGCTGAGGAGGTAGTTGCTAGTTGGTAAAGCTCGAGCCTCAGCGAAGCTCCGCAGTACTCGTCGTGATTTCCACTGCATACCATCACTTGACAATCTGTATCAGGGGCAACCGTACTGCCACTATCTAATGTATCGCCACAGTAACATTCACGCCCGTACTCTGTCCCCCAGTACGTAAAACCAGTGCAGTTCGAAGCACACATTTCTAGTGTCATAGCATCATCCGCATAAGCCGCGCCAGTCAAGGCTCGGCCATTTGAAAGCTCGGTATAGCAGCCGACCCGGACATATGATGACACAGTCGGTTTAGGAGCCAATGTCGCAGTTGGTGTCGGTTGGCTAGCTGTGGTACTGTACAGTTCTAACCTGTTACTATCTCCGCAGTATTCGGTGGAATCTCCGCCACAGACCATATTACAATCGGTTATAGGCGCTTTTTCGCTTGTGGATTGAAGCGAATCGCCGCAGTAGCCTATATGAAACGTCAGTTACTTGTTGTCAGGTGCGTAGGTCTTAGAAACTTACATTCACGGCCATACTCTGTCCCCCAATATACATACCCGGTACAATTGTTCATACAATCTTCTAGTGTCATGCTATCATAAGCAAACGCGGCGTCACCCAGAGCTCGAGTTCCCGCCGCAGTTGATTCTGTCTGGCACCCTACAAGCAAGTACTCTCCAATAGTCTGTCTATGATGCAATGTCTCTGTTGGTGCCGTGGAAGAAGTGCTCGTGCTACTCACTGTAGTTGATGAAGAAGCCGACGTCGTACTAATTGAAATAGTTGACGAGGTAGCGGATGAGGATAAAGTGGTTGACGTCCCAGGAGATGTCGAGATTTGTCCGGTAGTGCACATAGACGATGGTGGTGGATTTTGAAAAGCCTGGCATGTTCCTCCCAAGTCACTTGCAGAATTAAAGTCGTCTATTAGTGCCGAAGTCTCGCTCCCGCTAATGACATCAATCTTGGAAGCGTATGCAAAGTCGCCAAGGCCTGTGTAGTTTGCTGTATAGAAGGTATAAGCACCTACACAATCCCCCTCCGTCATAGTCACTGTGGCGTTTTTGAGCGTGGGCACCGGGAGATTAGGATTCCCTGTCGGGGTCTTATACGAGATAAGCGTATTAACGGGAAGTGATTTTCTGTCATTGCGAACCTAAGACATATTAATACCTAGTTTACCATGACCGAGCACCAGGGGTAACTAACAGCCGCAGTGACGGTAAGGGTACCGGAAAAGAGACAACTCTGAGATTTTTGAATCAAGATTGCATCTTGAATAGGGTACGAATTTCCATTGTTGTCGAAGGTTTGAGTCGTCCCACTAGCCATAGTAAGAGTTAAAGTAAAAGATGAAATACCCGTGGAAGTTGAGATAGCGGCATCTATAGGGAACCACTAGAACAGATTAGCCCTCAGTTCTTATTGCAACTAGACATTGGTCCTTAAACTTACGACAAATTGATCATCGAAGCCTTGAGTGGCGCCCAAGAGAGTTGCCGTATATGTACAATTCGTGTTTCCGCAGTTGTTGCCCCCGCTCCGATCTTTGTAATCTAAGGTCAAGCTAGAGACAGCGTCTCCTCCCAAATCGGTTGTTCGAACACGGATAAATCCATTCAATTGCATTGTCGATGCTCCAGAGTTGAGTGATAGTTGCATGTCAACTGGCTTGACCGAATATGGCTGAATGGGATCCGACAGAACGACGCCGTCGGGCACCGTATCAATCAACTTTTGAAGGACAGTAGCACATATAGTATTGAAGTCTGTGGCAGCTGCCATTGCGTTGATTGTTACATTCCCATCATAGCTGAAGACCTTGAAGTCTGAGTTTCTAGTAGCCTTAATCGATGGACCAACTACCAAGGGGTTAGTTGTATTGCCAGCAATGTATTCGGTGACGACTTTATTATCAAAGACTGCGTCAGTCGAATCCAGCGGGACTTCTCCGTTAGATGTAGACCCAACAGGGACAATTTCCGGGAATTCGTCATCATGAACACCGCCAATAGTATGTCCACAAGCAGTCGCTTGGATCATTTCGGTCTTGTCAAATCCCATTCGAAGAAACTGTTGCTCAAAAGTGAATGCAGTATTCTGTGGTAAGGGGACCCCTATTGGTCCACCGGCTAGAGCGTCGACTCGGCCACCAGCCACAGGTACCACAGGACCACCACAAGACCTGACGGCATAATATACACCCAAAGCAATGAGATCCGCTACACTTGATCGACTTGTGTAGTAGTCTGCCATAAACTTCAGAGTCGTGTTGAAGCCTGGCCCAAGATTGTCCGAACTTGTCAATTCGTATTGTAAAGAGCCATCCAACCCGCCGGCACGTACGCCGCCTAAATCCGTAGTCGTAGCCACATCATGGAAAGCTACCCGTAACCATTCTGCTGCATTTTGTCGACCAGGCCCAGATGCTTCGTTTGCACAAGGAATAACAGTTCCACCGAAATTCCTGGACCTATAGCCATTGACTTGATACATGATCTCCTCGAGTTCGTCGTTAGGGGAGGGCCACGTCGGATCTGTCGTCGCGAGCGTACCAAAGGATAGTAGAGAGCCCCATAATATTATGTTCCAGGACATCATAGCGAATATTAATAATCAATATTAAAAAAAAAAATAAGGAATAATTCACCAAATACTGAACTAGAAGCGGCTTCCTTGGCCGCTGAGGGTTTTTAGGACGAAGACACCATCGAAAGAGACCAGCACAAGAGTCCGACTTAGGAAAACAGATCGGGATATACATACCTAGATATTCATATGGGAACGAGTAACTGTGATAAGATATGCAGACCTACACTTTAGCTTGGTTCATCTGCTACGTTAATTCACTACCACACCGTTCCTGACAACGTTGGACAGTTATTCGCGAGATAGGATAATCAGCCGCCCAGACGCGGTAGCTGCAGAACCCCTTACACCAGTTCAATACGAGACCTCGCAGCAATGCAATGCTACCCATGGTAACGCTTGGAAGCGGATTGGTCAATAGCCAGCCTCTTGCGGAAACGTCAAGTCGTAGGTTAATCGAGATAGCTAAAAAGGAGTCATCCACAAACCATAAGCATAACAATCTCACCTGCCATCCTTTCATACATGATGCATCGACCTTCCCAGATTTGTTATTCGCGCCTGAGCTGAAGGTTTAAAGCCAATAGTCCGGTAAGCGACGGGTGATTATATGTATACTCCAAGCGCCAACGGAGGGCCAACTGTACCAACCGCCCAGAGGCTGACTGAAAAGAACAGGAAAAAGAGGAAGAGAAATAATCGAGGCCTGAATAACTCTGTTCCTCCATTTGCTACGCTCCTGCAGCAACAGATTCTTGTTCTATCGCATTTCTCTAAGTAAACATCCTTGAGGCTTCATGAATATGACCTTGCGTCCAGACCGTCGGGTCCGGGATCCAGGGATTGGGACTCGATCCGGGAGTTTTCAAAGTTGTCTTATCGCGGTACTTGGTAGCAAGGTGGCGGGATCTAAAGCATTCGAGGTTTACCTAGCCCCGGTCAATACGGCCGATAGGTACCTACACTGTTTACTTGGGTATGAAAAGGCGAGAATTCCTTCCCACTTTCAGCAGTCTTAAAAATTCAACCGTGCATACCTACCATCGACACGTGCGTTAAGTGGACCAATTCAAGGATCGATGATTGAACAGGGTAGACCCTGGTACTCCTACCCCATACAAGCCCGTAGAGATCTAGAATCTCACTGACGGCAAGAACCTTCAAATTCGGCGCGATTTCACCCATACAACTTCCTCTCCTGTCTTAGCGCTTCTCTTCTCTTTCCGTAGTGATGGGTATATTTGGTATAGTAGCACTACTATACCGTATAGTTGCACAATACAACACTATACCTAACTATACCATATAAATCACGTATAGTAACTAGTATAGTGTTGTATAGTGGACTTTACTACTAAAACAACCCATTTTATACTGCTTAATTAATGATTTAAAAGTGAAAATTACTAGGTATTATAGTTTTATTATTTATTATTTATTATAAGATTTATTATTTATCTTGTTCGAGTAAATAAAATGAATTAATTGAATGCGATCGGGAAATACTTAGGTACTTTTAAGTGGTTCTTCATGTATGTAATAAGCGGATAACCCCTGTATAAGCGGGGCCGATGCGTTTATCCGTTCCGCCATACGTATAGTGAAGTCAAAATACGGTATAGTACAATATAACTATACGTATAGTTACTATACGTATAATAAAAATGCCAACCCTACTTTCCAACAGTTCAACCAATTTTAGCGAACAAATGCCATTGCGACTTTTACAAAGCTCAAATTCATAGAGGCCTCGTGATATGTAATAGAGACAAATATCAATTTGATTGAGACGTATAGCAACCTCATTTACATGACTTACACGTACCTAACCCTAACTCGAATAGCAATGATAACGTTTCGAAATGTTCGTTCAATGTTTGGGTTGCGGATATTAAACCGTTAATGAGTTCAAATATTATAGATTGTGCAAATGGCCATGGCCGATAGGCTTATAGTTTATGAAGATATTTGCCCCTTCAAGGTCCGTCGACAACGTTTCATGCTAAGTATGATTATACTATTTTCATGCTAATGAAGTTTAAGTAGGTAGGTGTAGGTGTGTATGAGGCGAAAACGTAGATCGCTCAGCTACAACGACATCAACGCCTACCTGATGGAAAGTAAGAAAAAGATGTGACGTAATGATACTTGTGGCCCGTAGTTTCACCGACTTAACGGCACACCGTCGTAGAATGTCTACTAGCGTGTATCAGCCAATGAAGTAGGTAGTACAGATGTTTGCAACAACTATATAGTAGACAATAATTCGCCGCTTCAACATCTACTAAGCATCCGAATTGGTGTAGTGGCTAACATTTGACGCTCTCATGATCTAAACATCATAAGGATCCGTCAAGCCCGGGGTTCGATTCCCCGATTCGGAGATCATATTTTTGGCGCTTGCCATGCTACCTAACTAGGTAGTGTAGGGACATTTTCAGTTTTTCTGGTCTTTTTTTTTTTTTTTTTTTTTTTTTTTTTTTTTTTTTTTGGTGGATATAAATGGCCGTCGATAGAAAAAGTGTCAATGGACAATATCACTTCAGGTGCAATAAAACGAGTATTCAACGTGTGTGGTCCGAATAGCGACCCCAGAAGTTTTCTTTTACTGATAAGTGCAAATTTCAATATTAGCGTACTCTTAAATGCATAAAGTAGCATAAATCACAAAAGTGGGGTGTCCACCAAAAATTCGCTTAGCCCTCGCGCAAACCCACAAGAAAATTAATTTACTGGTGGGAGTTTTGATTTTCCAACGTTCAACATCACCAAATTTATTCTTGAGACCATCAACCACCCAGCGTCAAGGTAAGGTATGTATGCGATGGTCGAATCGTGCAACTTACTAAAATCATACTGTTCCTATTCATATCTTCAATTGACTAACATTCTCGCTCTAGATTTACGCCCTTCACGATGGCCTCAAGACCGACTGTCACCATCATCGGTAAAGATGGTACTCCCTCGGGAGCTACCCATCCCATTCCTGCCGTTTTCGCCTCGCCCATCCGACCCGACATCGTTCAACAAGTCCACACTGGAATCGCGAAGAACAAGCGACAGCCCTATGCCGTGAGCGAGAAGGCCGGTCATCAGACCTCTGCCGAATCTTGGGGAACTGGTCAGTAATAGAGAAGGCCGGACCGTTGCAAAAATTCTAACAGTCTCGCGCAGGTCGTGCTGTTGCCCGTATTCCCCGTGTCTCGGGTGGTGGTACTCACCGTGCCGGTCAGGCTGCCTTCGGTAACATGTGCCGTTCTGGTCGCATGTTCGCCCCTACCAAGATCTGGCGAAAGTGGCACATCAAGATCAACCAGGGCCAGAAGTGAGTCAAAACAGATCCGGTAGAAGGTGAACTAATGAACTAATACCTTGACAAGGCGATTTGCTACTGCATCTGCTCTTGCCGCTTCTGCAGTTCCCCCTCTATTGCTCGCCCGTGGCCACCAGATTTCTTCCGTCCCCGAAGTTCCTCTGGTCATTGACTCTGCCGTTTTGGAGGGTGGTGCTGCCGCCAAGACTGCCGGCGCTCTCGCCATCCTGAGCGCTGTCGGTGCCACTCCCGATATCGAGAAGGCTAAGAAGTCGAAGAAGCTCCGTGCCGGTAAGGGTAAGCTGAGAGGCCGCCGCCACCGCCAGCGACGTGGACCTCTGGTCATCTACGACCCCGAAGTCGACGGAAAAGAGCTCGTCACCGGAACCCGCAACCTTCCCGGCGTTGAGACCTGCTCTGTCTTCGCTCTCAACCTTCTCCAGCTTGCCCCTGGTGGTCACCTCGGCCGATTCATTGTCTGGACCTCGGCAGCTTTCAAGGCCCTCGACAGGATCTACGGTACCACTACCAAGCCTTCTGAGCTGAAGAAGGACTTCCTTCTACCTTCCAACCTGGTTTCCCAGGCCGATCTGAGCCGTCTCATCAACAGCTCCGAAATCCAGAGCGTCCTCGAAGCTCCCAAGGGTGGCCCCCTGACCAAGCGTGCTGCTGTCCAGAAGAACCCTCTGCGCAACAAGCAGGTCATGCTGCGCTTTAACCCCTACCACTCCACGTTCGTAAAGGACAAGGTCGGTCAGCAGAAGGCACCAGAGGGTAAGCCTCCTAAGACTTCTAAGAGCTTCCTGGAGGTATTGCGTGAGGATTAGATTAGACTAGCTTGGTGAGCAGCGCAGTCTAAAAGGGGAAAATGGGTGCATCGGTTGCTATATCACGGCGTAATGGATCATAGGGTCTAATGAATCAATGGACATTCTCATTCTGACGCCAGATTTTCCCTCCTAAATGATAAATCTATGATCTATCCCTGGTTCATAGAAAAGTGACTAGTGGAATAGCTTAATGTTTTGTGAATTGACATGTCGTAGACATACTCCATTGCACCATGCCACATATTTTACTATTCATTCAACGCCCTTTGAACCCCTCAGCCCTACAGGCAGTCTGTCGGCTTGGGCATCTGCGTACATAGTTTGCAAAGTATGGATATATTTACAGGTATTTATGCTGCCCGTTTCGCAGGCTATACGTTTCCATGTTAAACTCTTCACGAAAGCTCAATCACACCAATCTCAGACCGTTAGCCATGATGTTCCAAAACTCCACGTTCGACAATCAAAACCTATTTCCATACCCGCTACTATCTGGGCTAGTAGATATTCGTGAAGCCATCCTCACTTGGCAGCTCACTGGTCACCTTAACCCTTTTCCCATGCTTACATCAGTGGAAGTCGTCTTCTTAGGTATGCGATTACCAAGACAACCAAATATAGTGATTAAGACGTTTACGTATGTATTCTGATTTCAATCTAAAGGCCGGGATAATGGTGTAAAAAACAACATCTAGTCCCATATGTAGATTGGCCGGAAATGGATACATCAACGTCGCAAAACTCCAACATCTCTCTATCCCGAGCGCTTTCAACTCCAACTCGAAAACATACCTTTATCCCGACCCAATGGAGATACGTAAAGCCACCATATATCCATCACTTTATCGACACACGCAATAAAAACACCTCTCAAATGTAAACTAACACCCCATCCAGGCCCCCAGATTCACCAACCCATCCTCCGCATTTTGCGCCGTCCTCGCGAGGTTGATCTCGTCGAGGATATCCTCGATCTCCTTAACATTCTTAACGCGCCAGAACTTCTGCACGCCCTCGCCGAAGCGGCGGGAGCACGCGTCGATGTTCTCCTCGCTCTCGGCGGCGAAGCACAGCCGGAAGTAGGCCCAGGCGCGCTTCTCGCGGATCTCGGGCGTGGCGCTGTACAGCAAGCCGGGGCTGACAAGCACGAGGAACGGCTTGCGGGTGAGGAAGGCCATGAGCGCGGTCGACAGCGCGACGCCGTCGATCACGTTGCCGCCCCGCGTCCCGGGAGCTCGCCACAGCGGGTGCGTCTCGAAGCGCATGCGCACCCAGAGGAACATGCCGCCGCGCGGCCAGCGGAAGTCGTATAGCCGCGTCTTGGTGATGACGCCCCAGTCGGCGTCGGCCTCGCGCGTCGGCGTCGACTGCTTCAGCTGGTCCGCGTGCTCCTCGAGGATCCGGCACATGCGGTTCATGCGCCGCTCGTACTGGCCGCGCAGGCCCGCGAGCCAGCGCACCCAGCCGTCCATCTTCCAGCCGCTGAAGGCGAGCTGCTGCTGCTGCTCCTTCCGGCTATTAGGCTTGATCGTGAGTTGGGCCATCGCGGCCTCAGGCTGCGGCCCCATGATGGTCTCGGCGATCACGACTTGCGCGAAGCCGGACGGCTGTTGCGTGCCCGACTCGCTGACGCGGAGGAGCCGCTCGGCGATCGCGGGCTGCGTCGTGATCCACCCCATGCGGCAGCCGGGCGCGATGGTCTTGGAGAAGGTGTCGAGCCGGACGACGCGGCCGTCTACGTCGACGTTGAGGAAGGACGGCGCTAGCGAGTCTATGTACTCGTACCCGGACTTTTTCTCGAGCGTATTCGCTACCTTGGGCTCGGGGATAGGTAAGTTTCTCGCTTTGGCCTCCTCGATCTCGGCCGAGGGGTATTGGAGATACCAGTACGGGTCATCCTCGACGATGATGACGTCGTATTTGCTGCAGACCGAGTACAGTTCCTTTCTCCTTTCCAACGACAAGACACCACTTGTGGGATTGTGACCCATTCTATGGAATGGTATTAGCAAGTTGCTGATAGGTTGCATATGAGAATTGGGGCTCGCATGGAACTCACGTGACGGTATACATCAAGTGCGGTCGTTTTCCTTTTTCGTGATCCCAATTCGCAAGCACATCTTCTAAGCTTCCGGGACCGAATGGCGCCATGCCTTCTTCGTCCATCTCGATTGGCACGACCTGTACTCCTCGGGGTTGCGCCTGGGTGAGCACGTTGGAGTACATGAATACTTCGGTTACCATGCCTGGCCGCTCCCGGATATCGTTCTTCCCTTCGACCCAGATGTTCGTGAAGACCTCCAATGTCTTTGACATACCGTCTGTCGAGCCGCATGTCGATATGACCTCCGGCCCTCCTTCATATGGCACATTCGGATGTAAGACGTCGCGCGCGAATTGGCGGATGAAGGAAAGCAGCGGCGGGTATCCATCGGCTTGGCCATATTGCAGAGCGCTAGCTAGGTCTATCTTCCTCTTTATGTCCGAGGTAGGCGCATCGTGAGGCACAACGACGTGGGACGCGGTGGCCTGGTCCGAGATGGAAGTATCCGCCAATTGCCAAGACAGTAGGTCGTCGGAGCCGGGATAGTTGGGCGACGGCGTCCATCGGTCCGGTCTCGCGGTCTGGGCTTCCAACGTATCGAAGGGGAAGAGATGTGCATTCGGAAGACCTGACACAGGGAATTCGGATTAGCTTCCGGACTTTCACAAAACCATTGTGTCTGGGGGGTGGTGTCAAGTAAGGGACCGGGACTGATAAGGAAGGCTCACCGCCAGCGAATTGACCAATATTGGGAATCTGGAAGTATTTGTAGAATTCCTTCATTTTACTAGGGGCCCGCGCCTTGGTAACATCCGAGAAGTGATGAGACATGTCTTTTGGTAATGGTTTCGCCATGCCGGCGACGCTTTCATTGGATGCTTCCATGATTGACCTTCGATGGACACAGCAGTGATGTATCTCGGATGTACGATGTGTGTAGATACGGAGATGGATAGATAGGTATGTATTTGTACTACGCGATGGTTGGAATATAGTAGTCTATTTAGATATGCGTACGAATGCACATATAAGTATACGCATACATACAATATGGTGAGGTAAGTTATAGTAAGATGGGAGGACAAAAGGTTACACCGCACGTATGTGTCTGTCTGCCTGCATCCTGTCTCTGGTTATTCTATGATAGCCCTATCTCATAGAACTTATGTCGGGATCTCGCCCTAAGATTAGTGAACTGGCATGTCGATTACAAATTCGAATTCGACAAGGGCGCGGAATGCCTCTAAGCAGTTTTAGGAAGAATTCCGATTTAAGCGATTCATCCATCCAGGGGTCATCCTGCTTTCCTATCTCCGTGCCGCCCTTATGTAACGAAGTTGACCCTAGCCGCTGCCGTAAGTCTTGGTAACTCTTTGTACATCAGTACCATGTACCACAGCGCGGGGCTCTATGCAAGGTACCCCACATCCGATTTGATGTCAGTCCTTCCTGGTCATCCCAATCTACAAAATTTCAGCTTAGATCTTAGAACTTTTCACTTTTCAAAGGCGAATACGTGTGCAATACATGAAACGCAAAATACCTTTTTAAACGTTTGTCATATCGATATTTTGAGTCTGCAGCGAATTTTGTACCTCAATTGAAGTTTTACTCCCTCTTACATTGTGTATAGAGTTGCGTAACTTGACGCCGATCTCGCCCCCAAGCCAGATCCCTCTCGTAAAATACCCCCATTCTCGCCAGCGAGCGTTTGTCCGGTCCGGTCGGTAGATCTAAGAACGGAAAGGAAAGAAGAAGAAATAAATAAGAAAAGGGAAACCAACCCAACCTAATATATAGATTTGTCTTGGGAAATATCAAAGTGTTCAAAAGAGAAGTGCTTAGAGGGTGACCGTTCGTCATGGAGAAGATCACGGACAAGATAGCCGCTTTGCCGGCAGACTCGAGTTATTTCTCGCTCGAATTCTTCCCTCCGAAGACCGCCATGGGATTCTCGAATCTACGCGACCGTCTTGATCGAATGGCACGAGCATTGCGACCCCTATTCGTAAACGTAACGTGGGGTGCCGGTGGATCTACCGCTACTAAGTCTCTCGAGCTAGCTGAGATATGTCAGAGGGAATTGAATCTGACAACATGTCTACACTTGACATGTACGAATATGAGCCGGAAGCTAATTGATAGGGCGCTGGAAGACGCAAAGGTGTTGGGTATTAGGAACATCTTGGCCTTAAGAGGTGATCCCCCAAGAGCTGCGGAATATCGGGATCCAAACGAAAATCCGGAGGATGCCATAGATGAAGACTTCACGTGGGCGATCGACTTGGTCAGATACATAAGAAAGACTCACGGCGACTACTTCTGCATCGGCGTCGCAGCTTATCCCGAAGGCCATGCCGACGAAAGCCATCCTTTAGGCCAGAGTCTGGAACATGATCTTCCCTACCTTGTCGACAAGACTCAGGCCGGCGCCGATTTCCTCATGACTCAACTTTTCTTCGACACGGATGCTTATGACAACTTTGAGCGGACCCTAAGGGAACACCCTAGCGGCACCTTCAAAACAATCCCCATTATTCCGGGATTAATGCCTATACAGAGTTATCAGATGATCAAGAGGACGACGAAGCTTAGCCACGCTAAGATACCTGATGCGATAATGTCACGGCTCGACGATGTGAGGAAGGACGATGAGAAGGTGAAAAACGTCGGCGTGGACATCCTTTGCGAAATCGTCGACAAGGTCAAGGAGCTTACAAGTAGAACGCCTGGTCCTACGGGTTTCCACTTTTACACTCTCAACCTCGAGAAAGCTGTATCATTCATCGTTGAGAGGACGAATCTCATACCTCCCAGTACCCCCATATCAGAGGAGGAAGATGCCGTCGTCGAGGACATCACCTCCAGGATCCCAACCCTCCAGGTCAACGGCTCAGACCACGACCGCCTCTCCCAACCCCGCGACACCTCCCGAAGCCGCAGACAGTCCAACGTCGGCTCAGAACCGCGCAACCGAGTGATCATCTCGGGGCGATCCGTCTCGCACCCCGAATACGAAGCCACATCTGCCGAGGCCAGCATCCCCGCGGAGCCGATCAACAGCCGCGCCAACACGCTCGCCATCTCCGAAGGGGAAGGCGTCCTAGGCCGCGAAGCCACGTGGGACGACTTCCCCAATGGCCGATGGGGCGACGCCCGCTCGCCCGCGTACGGCGAGATAGACGGCTACGGGCCCAGCCTGCACGTTTCGCACGCGCAAGCCGTCAGCCTCTGGGGCAACCCTAAGAAGCTCTCCGACATCAACGACCTCTTCGTGCGCCACCTGTCCGGCGAACTCTCCGCCATCCCCTGGAGCGAGGAGGAGTTCAACGAGGAGACCAGCACCATCACTGCCCACCTCATCCAACTGAACCGGAGGGGCTGGTGGACTGTCGCCTCCCAGCCCGCCGTCAACGGCCTTAGGTCGTCCGACCCGGTCTTTGGCTGGGGCCCCCAGCACGGCTTCGTCTTCCAGAAGGCGTTCGTCGAGTTCTTCGTGCCGTCGGCGCAGTGGAAGGTCCTGCTCGACAAGCTCCGGAGCCCGCAGGTCGCCGGCCAGGTCACTTTCTACGCGGCCAACGCCGCGGGCGATTTCATCTCGTCCGACCTGACGGGCGGCGCCGTCGCAGCCGGCGAGCTCCAGGAGTCCAGCACGAATGCGGTGACGTGGGGCGTGTTCCCCGGGAAGGAGATCATCACGCCGACTATCATAGAAGAGGTCAGTTTCCGGGCGTGGAGCGAGGAGGCCTACGGCATCTTCGCCGAGTGGGCGCAGGTCTACGGGAAGGGTTCGGAGAGCGAAAAATTACTGGAGGACGCGAGGGCCGACTCGTGGCTCGTGAATATCATACACCACGACTACGTCGACAAAGACGCCCTGTGGAACCTGTTACTGAACTAGAATATTCACGCAAGAAAAAAAGAAAGAAAATAGTAAAATAGAATAAGGGGTGGGGGGAAATCAACGGTAGTATTTTCGGACGAAACTTGACTATCTACTAGAGTATCAGGTAGCCAGAGTTGCTGACAAACTATCTAATTCATCCGCAGCCCTTATGAAGAAAGTCCTGAGATTTCATCGCGAATCCGGAAAAGTAGTGCAAAAGCGAAGAAAAAAAAGGAAATGTTTTGGTCAGGTTTCGATGTAGCATCCAGTTGCCCGTGTACCTGAGTCAAGAAGAGTGAAGCCAGAGATCACCTATGGGGCTGTGCGAAACTTGCCCGTAGGTATATCAGAGTGTATGCAAAAGCATGAGAATGATGGTGTTGCAGAATTGGCAACGTTTGCATGGCCCATCCGAACGCCCTCCTAATCCACCACTACCCCTTTAGCTAACCACCAACGCGTGTCATTGATAGTTGGCAAAATAGCATATCGTGTCGTCATTTTTGTCCCATAAAACTGTCCTTTTCCCACCACACCTCTTCCTTTCGTTCGGTTGGTAACGAGAGAGAATAAGGAAAAGGGTAACTAATATGTCTTTGGTGATGTCACGCGATTGCGGTTAAGGACTTTCCACCGACATGAGACGATTCAGTCGTGATCGCCATCCTGTGATGGCGTCGAGCAACAAAAGGAAACCAAGTAGAACTTAAAAAGACGTCAACATCAGATCTCGCCGTCTGAGAGATCATCGGGTACGTCCTGGGTGGAACTCTCGTAGCTGTTGAATGCAGGTGTATCGACGTGCTCCTCCTCACCAGGCTCCTTGGCCTCTTCCTTAACGCGGCAGGAGCGCTGGGGATTCTGACGGCCAGTCGCTGTCTCGTCGTCCTCACCCGAGTCGGAGTCAACGATGACCTGGACGTTGGTCTTGGTCGGGACGCGTTGAATGCCTTTGCCGAAGAGGGAGTCGCCATTGGTGGACTGTCTGCCACCACTGGCAGGGAAGAGGTTGCGAGCAACACCGCCGTTGGCCGTCGTGGTGTCCTTGTCATTGCCGTTCTTCTTGGAGGCTGGGGTAGCTTTGGCCTTGGTAGCGCTAGCCTTGGTCGCGGTGTTGCGTCGCTTGGGGGCCGGAGTCTTGGACTCTTCCTCCTCTGATTTGACGTCCTTGACGTCGTAGTCAGAGTCGTCGCCGCCGCCAGTGTCCTCGTCGGACATGTTGACCTTCTTGCCTCCACGCTTGCGCTTCGAGCCGGGAGTGCCACCGGCGCCAGCCTTCTTCGCCGTAGAAGGGGGCGTCGTGCTTAACTTGGGCTTGCCAGGACCGATCTTGACCTCGGCTGGGTTCTTGCCTTCCTCGAGAGCCTGCTGCTGTGCTCGGCCCACTGCCTTGATCTCACGGAACTGCCACTCGACTCCTCCGACGGTCGACTCGCCGAACAGCTTCTGAATCTCTGTGAGAATACGTTAGCCATCTTGTTTCCCTCGTTATGTACGGGTAGCGATAACATCTAGTAGCGGTAATGATATGGGTAGAGTGAGTGATAGTTAGGGGTGAGAAGGCTTTCAGGGGTCTACCTTGGGTCTCGACGGGCAACTTTCCCGGGTCCTCTTTGGCCTTCCTACAGGCGATTTGCATCTTGGCTAGTTGCTTGACGGGACGCAGGCGATGATCTACGGCCGACGCGGTCGTACCTCCGCCCATGTATTCTGCGAGCTCTACAGCTACATCAGCCCGAGAAAGTTACGAGAAGGGTAGTGGGATGGGAGGTTTTTGATAATATGCTGGGATTGGGTGATATAGAGAGGGCAGGGAGCTGAGGGGGGGTTTGAAGAAGGTAGTATTGATATACACCAACTGTGGCTTCCTCTTCGAATTGAGACATCTCTAAAGTTCTTGTTGCCGTCTACAGTTACACGCCTCAGTTGGCTAGCAAATGGACGACCAACAGTGCTCCCTATACGATACGTGGTAAATGACCCGACATAAAACGTGGAGAATGGCCCATAACAAAGAGGTGGGGCCGTCCACGGTAGGTAGAATGGACGAAGAAAGGATAGGAACAGACACCATGTTCTCCAATAAATCGCGATAAAAAGTCGAGTATACGTACCAGCATAGTTAAGCTTGGGCTTTGCAGAAGCGAGCACGGCTGCGAGTAGACGCACGCTAGACTCGTAAGTGCGGAAGTTGGTCTTGTTTTGGTGAGGAGGCATCGTGACCAAGGTGCTAGAATTGACTGTCTAGAAAGAATAAAGGCAACCCTGATGATGTTAGAATAACGTTTGTCGACGGGAGTCAGAAGAAAGATAAGGGGCAACGACTGCTTGGGGTGACAAGTAGAAAGGTTCGTTCAAGATTGAAGTTGTCTGAGGAAAGATTTGAGATTTTGTTAAGTGGGACGGGGAAGTATGTTTGTATGTGTTGGTGATGTTTTCAAGGTGGACAGTAGTGGGAGTTGCTGCGTGGGTAGAATTATCTCCGGGGATAGTGATGAAAATAGGAACCATGCAGAGATTGAGGGGAAGGTACACTTGAGAGAAAAACCATAGAAACAGGACAGAAAACCGGCAGGAACTGACGATCTTGTCGAGTGTACATTGAAAAGAGAAGAGGTGGCTTACAGTGTAGATGGTTGATTTCTGGCTGGATGTAGAAATCGGCAAGACGAACTTCCGCAGGCTCTGGAAAATTAGTCTTGGATGTCTCTCTGATGATAGATGAGGGTGAAGAAAATCGACGAGGCTGAGGCAGAAAGAAGACGCAATCCTGTGAAGAAGAGTACAGGTATGGACGGGTGGTAGTATGTAAAGTTGAAGAGGGATATGACGGAGAGTGAAAAGAGAAGACCTCTTCTTACCTGTCATGTGCTTGCCTAAAGATTCGTGTCTAACGAGAGTGTGCTTGCCAGTACTCTGTTCAGTCCCTTAGAAAGTACTGTTGTTGCTGCTTAACATTGGATTTGAGGGCAAGACCCAGCAGTGCAGAAGTGCAAGACTAGGGTTAGGCAACTGCAAGCAGATAGCTGGTACTTGATAGTGGGCTGTTGAATGACTGTTGTTGCTGTGTTTACTGAGTGTCCACTTATGTACGTGGTGACCGTCCTCGGTGCACTTGGTTGTCGTGGGATTCTTTATGATTCAACCTTCAGACTTCGTCAAGTCAAGTGGGTGTTGGACTCGGGTTCTACACAAGAGTTAGCCACATTATTATCCAGGACTTGGCATCAATGTAGGGATGGATACGATTATCAATTCGATAGCTATCCAGAACAAATTCTAAGGGAAACCAACCTACGAGGCCAAGTTATTTCTCAGGCTAGTTGCCCCAAGAAATGACAGGGCTGCTTTCAAGCTTGAGATCCCCGTCTTAGATCTGAGTAGAATCTGGGAATGAAACTTATACCCAATGATATGGGATAATATGGGATAAACAGGTTCAATCTTCAAGTGACGACTAAAATTGGAGGTGAATATAACTGAAAGTGTACAATGGTGAGTTGACTATATTGCCTTCGAGTATTCGACTAGGTACCTCAAGAGGGTTGTGTAAACAAGCCAATGAGAGTAAACAAAAGGTAACTACAGTTGTAACTAAGCAGCGTCTTGGATTCAGAAAGAAGTCTCAACTCAACAAGAGATGCCTTCATTTATGTACGAGGGGAAAAGGCTTGGAGTATTTAGTGACGAGAGCAAGAGGGTATTAAGTTGAGAGGATGGTAGAGAGTAGCTGGGCCAATATCCCTCCAATGTTGAAGTGAGCGAGCGTGTGTCTTAGATAGGCCGTGACTATGGCCTCAGAATTCTAGATGCCCATCTATCACATTACCCCTCTCTTTCGTACAGAGTTGACATCGAGACGATAAAGAATATCACTATTATTCGGTACCAACTTTCTAGACTTCAGAAAATGCATTTTGTGGCTGTTTATACATGGAGGGATTAGAAGCCTGAGGTACTCGTTAACATGAATTCACAGAACCCGCACGGCTCACAGAAGGTCATGTCACCCCAGCCACCCGCGTATTTTGACAGGGGTTTTACAAGCCAGGCAGCCAGGCAGGCCGACAATCTTCAGTATGATCCCCTTTTTCTTTTTCTATGCCTTTTGGAATACTGATTCAATCGATAACGATGTGCCTCAGATCATGGGATTGGTCCGTCATAATTTCAATTGTGACCAAATCTTCGCCATTTGCAGAACTAACATAGCGCTTTGACTCGATGACGAAGATATCAAGGGTCTAGCCTTCGATGCTTAATCATGCCATTTTCTTCATTATATCATTACATGTCTATATTGGGGTTAATCTCTAATACGTTAGATTATGGTAGATTAAGTAAGTCGTGCAGTTGTTCGTCTAAATCGTCTTCTCCCCTAATGGAGTCCCTCTCCCTGTTGGCGTCTGTCGCCCGCCGTTGAACGAGCCAGACAGATGCGGCTTACCACTTGGGTACGGCCATCCCTGTTGTGCCTTCGTAGTTGGTTGCTGGTCACCGTACATCAAATACTGAACACCGATAAGAAAGTCGCAAGCGGCCTGGAAGATGCCGCAGAGTTTGAAGGCCCACGGAATTGCGGTGGTGGACGTGAAAAACCAGAACATTTTCATGGCGTCTCCGACCAACCAACTTGCCAGCACCGAGAAGCGAAACCCTTTGCAAGATCGTGAGCGTGCGTTGGCAACTAGCTGCGGAATTGGCAATGTTGCTTCGACAGACAGGCCGATATAACCTATTAAAGCGGAATATCCGGAATAGAATGAATGAAACGGCGCAATTAGTAATTCGAGTATAGTTAAAACAATAAACAACGACAATAAGAATTGCCAATAGCTAGCGTATATAATTAGCCAAGGTGTCGTTGCATGCCTTAGGTAGAGCTGTAAGAAACTTACGGCTTCGGTGAACGCCACTGCCAGAAATTATATGGCCGTTGAAATCCTCCGAACCCATCCTGGGCGCCAGCAAAGGGAAGCGCAGCATCGCCTCCTTTTGATGATGGTGGTGGTCGGTGGTCGAGGGCAATTTTTAGAAGGATGAGTTGTATGAAAATGTTGCAAAATGACTGGATTAACAAGGCCTCGTCGAATTTCGCGCCTGGGTAATAAAAGATCCTACAGATAACTACTGTTAGCATGCCAATTTCCGTATATAATAGTATTAGGGCAAGGCGGACAAACCTGAATATCGATGCGACAAGCATAATAAGAGGGATATCCAGCGAGAACCCAGCACTCGATCTCGCCTTATGCATAGCAACTGCCTGATCTGTGTATGAGAGGATCGGAGACATTATAAGAAATACAGGGGCCGCATAGCCGGCCAATGTCGCGAGAAAGGTCATCTTGACGGTCGAGTATATGGGTTCGCCTGGGTTCGTCGGAGGATGCGGAAATGTCAAGTATTTGGCGTATATCAATTCTCCCGGTTCTACGCAGAGTCCGCCACATTAGAAACATTAGCAAGATATGGAATACATTGCTCAATTGGTAAAGGTAGCGGGAAGTTCAGTTACAGAAATTCCATCTGAGAACGCAAATTTATGTCTAAAATGAAGAACCGCGACGAGTGGAACTTGAATCAATCCAAACACTTGTCAAAAAGGGGCTAGCCTAACTAGTACCCAGATTTTACCAACCATTGACGTAGTGCAACAAAGTACAGTTGACCGTCTCGAGCCTTATCGGGGCGGTTAAATTCTCATCCGAGAACACTGTGTGTAGGTACCTAGGTACATACCTCGTCCTTATCGCTTTTATCACACCTCGATTCGACCAAAAGCAGGAAGAGTTGGGACTAAGCTGAGTCGATGATTGGCTGGATTAGTTATGCAAATGCAGGGTCCTGTCGGATCTCTTTCTACCCCTCCATTGAAAAGTTAGAATGATTGTTAACCCCACATGGTTATGAACATTTTCTTTTACAACGCGTGCTTCAGTAAGACTTCAAGTGACACATTCGAGTTTACTTAGGACATCTTACTCCAAGTGCCGCCGGGCCACTACGGTCACCGCTTGACAAGATGGAATATATCACTTTGACCGGAGAGTCTTGCTTCACTTCCTCCGAAGCCCAAAAATTGAAGGATCGTGTCAACCAAACGGCACCGACGAAAGTAACTAACATTATAGGTTCCTGGATATATTACGCGCATATCAAAGGAAACAAGGAGGCTCTTCAATCCAAACTCCAGCAATTACTCCCATTGCCTGACAACTCTGGTCCACCACCTCTAACTCATATTGGATATACTCGTACATATTTTATTGTACCCAGGAATATATCACCATGGAGCTCAAAAGCAACCAAGGTCTGCGAAGTTTGCGGCCTTAAAGATGAGATCCATCGTGTAGAACGAGCAAGATCCATCACGCTTGGATTTGAACATCCTTTCGACAGTGATGAGATACCATTCAAGGACTTGCTATTCGACCGGATGACTGAGATCATATCTTCAAATCAACCAGACCTTGATTCTATGTTCATCGAGCGGGAGCCATTGCCCCTAGAGGTTGTCAATATCTTTTCCGCAGACCAGACGCCAATTGATCTGCTCAGAGCATACAACATCAAGCATGGCCTAGCTCTAGATGAGTCCGAAATGGAATACCTAGCCCAAGAATTCATGCAGCTCGGACGACCCCCAAATGATATCGAGCTCTTTATGTTTGCTCAAGTCAACTCGGAACACTGTCGTCATAAGTAAGTTATGATCCCTAGGCGTATTTGTATCATCCAATAATACACCCTCATATACAATATATTCCTTGTAGCTTACTTGCATTTAACCATGATTTATCTCTACCGATCGTAGCAAAGAAAACTCTAGAGGAAATATCTAGTCATCCTTCATTGTAGACTAATAGTGGATAACAGGCAATTCAATGCAAGCTGGACTATTGATGGCTTAACTAAAGACATGAGTCTATTCGACATGATTCGACATACGCATAAAAAGACGCCCAATTATACCGTATCGGCCTACAGTGACAATGCTGCCGTAATGCAGGGTGAGATAGGGAGCTACTGGGCCCCTGACTACACAACTGGATCCTGGAGACTCAACAGAGAAGTCGTACATATACTAGCTAAAGTTGAAACCCATAATCATCCCACTGCTATTTCTCGTAAGTAAATACCCAACGCGTTGTGACTATTACTAGTGAGCGTAGCAATGCTAACTTCCGATGCTTTTCCAGCTTTCCCAGGAGCCGCCACGGGATCAGGTGGCGAGATCCGTAAGTTGGCTCGTGATTTTGTCTAGTTACCATTACTAGTGATATAAACTGCATCTGAGGTCGTATCGCTACAGTCTAGTCTGAGCTCTTACTAACTGTCACCCTTTCAGGCGATGAAGCTGCCGTCGGGAGAGGATCGGCTACTAAAGCAGGACTCTCTGGATTCTGGGTATCCGACCTCCTTATCCCAGGCCACCAAGCTTGGGAGGCTGACATTGGCCGCCCGGCCCACTATGCGAGCAGTCTTGATATCATGTTAGAAGCACCTATTGGTTCTGCCCGCTTCAACAATGAGTTTGGCCGTCCTGCGCTTACTGGTTGTTTCCGCACGATGTTGACAAACGGTACCAATAAGAGCGACGAGAATTCTGAAAAGGCGGCAGAGTGGCGAGGCTATCACAAACCAATCATGATTGCGGGTGGACTGGGTAGAGTTAGACCGGCACACGCCCTCAAGAACCCAACCGATGTGCATGAAGGTGCCCATGTTATCGTGCTTGGTGGTCCTGCAATGCTAATTGGACTTGGCGGTGGTGCGGCGTCTAGTAATGCTTCCGGAGAAGGGACCGCAGATCTCGATTTCAACAGCGTCCAGCGAGGTAACCCCGAGATGCAGCGTCGAGCTCAAATGGTTATCGACACATGTGTTGGCCTAGGTGACGCGAACCCTATCGTAAGTACTTCCAAAAGTTCTAATCACCAGGGCTTTATGGCTTTGACTTTCCAAATTCCATACTTCGCGCCTTGTATATAGCTGCTAATTATAAATCTCTAGGCTATGATACACGATGTTGGTGCTGGTGGATTGTCGAATGCCCTCCCAGAGCTTGTCAAAGACGCCGGATTTGGGGGTAAATTTGAACTGCGACAAGTTGAGAGCGCGGATGGTAGCATGAGCCCGTTACAAATCTGTAAGTGTTTTCTAGCTATCGTTTTACTTCATTATGCCTAGGTATGTTAACCTAAGGTATCACTAACTTGTGTTGACAGGGTGCAACGAGGCTCAAGAACGTTATGTCCTTTTAGTTAACAGCGAAGGGATGAATCGATTTGTGAGCATATGCAGTAAGTTCTCGTTGTCCTTAGGACATATCATCTGGTAATAACCTGTTGAATAGGACGTGAGCGCTGTGGCTTTTCAGATGTCGGCACCGTGGTATCCGAAAATGAGAGCGGCCCTCCTAAGCTTATTTTAACAGATAGGAACGCAAAGGAGAAAACATACTCGCGACCCATTGACTTGCCCATGTCGACTCTATTTCCCCCAGGCCGTCGGTTGCAGCGCATAGTTACCTCGAGCAAACCAATTCTACCAAAGTTCGATCCAGTTCCTACTTTGAGGGCTGCGTTTGGAGACAAATTGTCAGATGCCGAACTAATCAGAAGCGCCTTGCAGAGAGTTTTCTGGATGCCGGCTGTGGGTTCAAAGTCCTTCTTAATTACAATTGGAGATCGAACAGTCGGTGGTCTTACTGCTCGAGACCAAATGGTAGGACCCTGGCAGACTCCTGTGGCCGACGTTGCCGTAACAGCCACGTCATTCAATTTGGGATCGAAAACGAGACATGGTGAAGCAATGGCTATGGGCGAAAAGCCTACTCTTGCACTAATATCGCCTGCCGCTTCTGCTCGTATGGCGGTTGCCGAGAGCTTGATGAACATAGCTGCTGCGGATATCATGGGCGATCTACGACGAGTAAAGTTATCCGCTAACTGGATGGCGGCCGTGAATCATCCTGGAGAGGGAGCGGCTCTTTACGAAGCGGTTGAAGCCATTGGGCTTCATATGTGCCCACGGTATGTACCAATCGCATCTCACCTCTTTTCTTTCCTTCACAAAGCTCGATATATTCTCCTCGATATATTCAGATTCTCAATTGCTGGAACGAGGTTATATCCCCCAAAAATTACAGGAGATACTAACTAGGCATTAGGTTAGGCATCAGCATACCAGTCGGCAAAGATTCAACGTCCATGAAGGCAGCATGGAAGGACCGTGAGACTGAAGAAACCAAGAGCGTAACCGCACCTGTATCAGTCGTCATTTCTGCCTTTACCATAGTGGATGACATTCGAAAGACCTGGACCCCACAGCTACGACGCGTGGAGGAAGTCGGAGAGACTGTTCTCATGTTTGTCGATCTAGCAAACGGCAAGAAAGCCATGGGCGGGTCCGCCCTTGCCCAGTCGTTCGGCTATGTGGGTGACGAGGCACCGGATGTGCGAGACATCGACTTAATCACTGACTACTTTGACGCACTGGCTCAACTTCACCAAAGCGGCGTTGTTCTTGCGTATCACGATAGATCTGACGGTGGGTTGATTACGGCAGTAGCTGAGATGATGTTCGCAGGACGATGCGGTGTTGACTTGATGATGGATGGAATTGCCAAATCATACCTAGTCGAGGACATGGTTGATGCTTTATTCAACGAAGAACTGGGAGCCGTGTTCCAGGTGCGAGCCTCAGATGAGATCAACTTTAAGAGGTGCTTTGCAACTTGTGGCCCACCACCTGGCATGATTAGAAAGTTTGGCAGCGTACAGCCTAAATCAAAGCAAGCGTTGACGATTCGCTATGGAGCGGCGCCTCTTGTCAGCCTCGATAGGAAGGAGATTCAGCAGTGGTGGACAAAGACTTCATTCGAGATGCAGAAACTGAGAGACAACCCCTCTTGTGCCGAGTCGGAATATTCGACTATCCTCGATCAAACCGACCCAGGTCTCTCTTATAAGCTCACTTTTGACCCATCCGACAAGATTCTGCCATTGGCTGCCTCTATCACTGGTTTCTTTGGCAAGAGCCCTCGAGTGGCTATTCTACGAGAACAAGGTGTCAACGGGCATGCCGAAATGGCATTCGCATTCAAAGCAGCAGGTTTTGACCCAATTGATGTGATGATGACGGATATAATTTCTGGTCGCTCTCTAGCAGACTTTGTGGGTTTGGCTGCCTGTGGCGGCTTTTCCTACGGTGACGTGCTTGGAGCCGGACAAGGCTGGGCTAAGTCCATTCTCATGCACGAGAATGCTCGAAAGGAATTTGTAGATTTCTTCAAGCGGCCGGACACATTTGCTCTTGGAGCCTGCAATGGTTGCCAAATGTTATCACGACTCAAGGAGCTTATACCTGGTACGGAACATTGGCCCGTGTTCGTAGAGAACACAAGCCAGCAATTCGAGGGACGATTAAGCATGGTAAAGATCGAGGACAATTCAAACAAGCCTTCGGTTTTCCTCCATGGCATGGACGGCTCGGCATTCCCCATTGTCGTGTCTCACGGCGAGGGAAGGGCGTCTTTCTCTTCACAAAACTCTCTACAGGCTCTAAACGAGGCAGGGTTGATTCCCATTCGATACGTCGACAACTACCTGAACGTAACAGAAAAATACCCATTCAATCCTAACGGCAGTCCCGGCGGCATCGCTGGTGTCAGCAGCGAAGATGGCCGTGTATTGGCCCTAATGCCTCACCCTGAACGATCAGTAATGGCAGATTCCGTGTCCTACGCACCACCTGCTCTTCTTGAAGAGTGGGGAGAATTTGGACCCTGGATTAGGATGTTCAGAAGCGCGAGAAGATGGGTCGGATAGAGTAGCTCTTACTAAAGTGAGAAAAGACTCTACGCAGCGAACATTTATGTCCAGAACGTACGATCACACGGTTTGCCTTTACTTACATTTCACTATCAAAATAAGACTCGGGATTAAACAATGCGGTTGAAAAATGTAGTATATATTTGACTCCTACGAGAGATACATACATTCGAACGGATACTACATCAAACATTATAGGGGTTTGTTGAAGGCCGTCCCACATTAGGAACGACAGCCTCAAGCGAAGGAGAATGGATAAACAAATGGCTATGGATTTGAGTAAGGCAATGAACATGATGGATTAGCAAAAAAAAGTCACTTTAGGCGCTTCCGCGGCCACCACCTATTGTGGATCGTGATGCTATGTTGATGTTCCTACCTACTGCTCCAACGGGATACTAGGTAAAAATGATATATGCAGGAAACATCAAATTATGGAGCTAGGCAAAGTCACTGCCGGCACCCGTAGACTATCTAGGTAGGTAGAAAACTAAGCAATATCAGTACCGGAGCCGATGTGGTCACGGTTACGATTCGCATTGCAAATCCTGGAGCAATTTGATCCTTCAATCCAGAACGAGCCTCTTCCCCGTTATAGAAGCCCGCGTGCTCAAATCCAAAAGGAAAAAAAAAAAGGAATCCATCGCGATCCTCTCTCGATATACCCCTTACCTAATGCCTCGAGTATTATTATTAGCATTGCTTTAATATACTCCGGAACCTCGCTAAGTAAGAATAGCGTGAGCAGGAACCGGTAACTGAGCCCCATGTTCGTCGCTTGCATTGTTTTCGGTTTTTTCCTTCCCTTTCCCCTTCGTTCTCGTTTTCTCTCATCGTTCAGGGAACAGACAATTTTTTCGTCACTCTATACCAAGGCAAGAAAATTCAATAGCGCCTCCCCGTTTCCGACGTTGAAACCCGGGCATTGGTCGTATAAGGGGATCCGTGTGTAGTAGCAGCAAGGCATAGCGCACATAAGCGTCGCGACGTTGGGGGTCCCCTCCCCCCCAAACCTAGGGTAGCTTAAGCGGCGGCGGCTCTCGCGAGCGGCATTGGGGAACGTCGGGACCCCGTTTCGCGAAGGATACATACAATGGGTAGCTGTTGGACGTCGTAATCGCAACTTTTAGGGGGATGGGGCTTTAAAGCGACGAGACGAAAAGAGAAGGGGAAAAACCTTGGTTTTTCTTGAAAAAGCGTAGCCTTGGGATGGATACGCCCTGTTTTATGACCCCGTATCCCGTATCCGCAGCCTAGCCCGAGCGCAAGGCGGGGGAGAGAGAGACCCTTTTCGCTGATGGTGGATATCATATCGCATCGCATCGCAGATAACATACCTTGGAGTTCTAAGGTTCCAGATAAAGCCAAAAGGTTAGGTAGGTAGTAATTAGAGAGAACCTGGCTGGATTTTCCTTCAAGTGCCGGGGTTTCCGGGCTCCATGCAAGCCACGAGGGAGACAAGACGGGAAACCCTTACAAGCGGAACGCCCAAATGTCAATCCTCCCCTCGCCAATTCCTGCTCCTCGCCTGCAACCTGTCCCTCAAAAATCCTCAGCTGAAGAAAAAAAAGAAGCGCCCCGTCGACGGGCGGCGCCTTCAGGTTCAAAAAGCCCCGTGATTACTTGCTTTCGTTTGGCAGCTAACGGCTTAAGCTTAGCCTGCGGCGGTTGGTGGTTGCGGTCATGCGTCCTCGCGTAGCTAATAAGTAAATAACTGGTCGAGGGGAAACGAGGAGGCTGAGAAGTAATGAGGTACGGTTGTATGTACCTAGGCCTTTTCGTTCCCAGTACTCTGTCTACGCTAATATTAATCCGGTCTGCATCAGCGTTAGGCGTGGCTCTAAGCAAGTACGGTGGTATGGGTATACGTAAGACGTGGAGGTTGCTGTGTACGGGTAGGTACATACATACATGCAGACATACATCGTAGTTCAGGTAGACGAACAGACCAGAGCGAACGGAGCTTCTTACTCGGCAATGCTACGATGGACTTTTGTCACCCTGGTTTGCGGCACATACATATAACCCAAGCCAAGGCCAAGACATTGCTTTGACCTGCAGCCGGGTATCTCGTCTCGTTTCTCCGAATGGCACAACCACACACGCCCGCGATTCGGTTCAGATTTCAATTTTTCGGCACCAGTGACACTTCTGGCAATGGGGGGTTCTTCGCGAAGCCTTCTAAGACATTTCCCCATGCACTCTCGTACGGGAACTCGTACGCCTACATATGCACCTTATTTTATGTACGCACATACCGTACATAAAGCTCCTAGGGACCTAGGTACGCACGCACCAGGTGGGCAGGTACTGGATATAAATAATATCAGGCGGGGGGATTTTAAAGGGCGGCCCAGTCCAGACCTAGGCCTCTTTACTCCAGGTACCTACCGAACCTGGTATGGATTTCGCCGTCTTTGTTAGCTCGCTTAGATCTCATCCAGATCGCTTACGGGTTGTGGCGTGCGCGCCGCAACGTGGTGGTGTTCGCTTCATGAAAAAAAAAAATTGTCTTGAATGATGCTTTCGGTGTAAGTTGGGGGTACCGTCCAAGGCCCGGCAGTGGAAAATTACGGATCAAAAAAAGTCCACGACGTGTGCTGGACCGATTGCCGACTGAAGCTCGAAAATAGGGGCTGTCGATTCGACCTTCCTAGCAAGTATAGTTATTCTGTTGATCAATACTGCTTAATGACGCCACAGTTGCAACCGCAGGGTAAGGCGACAGCGTTGGTCTCATCAAGTGTAAAGAAGCTGAAAAGTGCATACGAAGACTGACGAATGATGTCTCAGGCATTCCTACTGTGGCTTGCCTGTGAGAGGTACAACCGTTGGTGAGATCGTCGCACGTGCTGATCGTCCCAACCCAGGTCTTATTAGCGGTTTATATGCCGGGTCCTCGCTGTCTCGAGTAATAACCCTTTACTGCATGATCGAGTCCCTAAACCCCGACAATATCTCCTTCTCCGAAAGCATGGATTAATCAGTCTTAATCATACTGTACGAATACGATGCAGCTGATTATTATTCGACGCATTTTGGGCTGGCGACTTAGAAATCGCTGGAGACTTCTTCTGTTTCGATGCGCGGTCCTTTAAAAAAAATCGTGGGGCACCCCTAGAACACCCCAAGGTCTCGCCCACTTGTTCTGGACTCCGCTGCAAGATGAAATTGCATCGGTATTGCTCCTGCAGCATCACCTATCCTAGGAGATGTCTCACGATGCGTACCCCTCACACCCAGTGTTAAGGAGCGGCCTCGTCATCTCCGTATTTCGCTTCTGATGAGCGCTAGGGTCTATTTCGCTTTTAAGATGTGCTGTGGTATATCGGAACGAATATCGCGCAAGTCGGCAGTGGAGTACCGAGTCTAACGTAGCGCAAAACACTGGTTCGGACGAAAGACCATAAAGAAGGCTATTGTCCCGTCTTAACTTGACCTCTATGACCGAGTCACCTCCACTGTGGCTTATGCGCGTGCAGATTAGGATAACAGCCTATTTGCCGTTAGATATTGCCGGTATTGAACAACAACGAACCGAATATGAAGGGGAGCTGCAGAAACACCGGCCTCAGGTGGTGGTTTTCGGGACCAGGAGGTCCCCTATGCGCGGCAGAGGCGTTGGACAGTAACCTTATATTGCATGCCTTAAGGTGGCCGGCATTGCTCGAAGTAGACGCAACCCCCCCTAAATTAGGGGCACAGCTATCTGTGTACGTAGAGTTTGGCATGGGGGTTCTCGTCTCTCGATTCTAAATTTGTGGTTATTAACTCCCAAAGTGTTCTATCGAAATTGACGAGGCCTAGACTGACCTACTCGGCCGGTTCAAGCAAACCCAAGCCGGGGCAGTCGTTCATAAACTTGCGTATGCGCGACATCCTAGGTTAGTCTGACAGATCAAAAGGGGGCCGGGCCGAAGATCAGACATTGGACCTCTTCGCGCCGCACTATTACACCGTCATCCTCTTAATCCTACTAGCCCGTACACTAAGATAAAGGAAAGGCGGTGTTTAAATCCCACATGGCGTGCGTGAATCTCGCCTGTTGGATCGGGTTTTGATCACGACACATGATCCTATGCGGCTGCGCGACACACGAGATCTCGTGAGGCTAGTCGTGTGAGTACTTAGGCAGCTTTGCTGCTGACGGGGCGGATCTGGACGTGGTCAGAAAATCAAGATCTCGGAGCCCAGCGCGATATTACTCTGACTCCCCTCCGATGGGTTATCAAAGCATTAGTCAACCGGTAGGTGATATTATAGGTATAGTGTCTCCTGTATCCTATAGTAAGATGGTGCTGTATCTACCCGGTTGGGTTGTGAGGGAGACGCGATGCCGTTTCCCATTCATCATAATACCCGTCTTATTATGTTGCATGCTTCCATAACTAAAAATAGACCCGACGACCGCTTAACCCCGCGGCCGCCCGCCTTTCTGGTTGTCCATTAATTATTACGATTCATATTTGCTGAGCCTATCCTATATGCAAAGCGGGATATGGGCTGTTGCAATATCGCAGGATCTCTCGTTTCTTTGGATGAATGTAAGAGGCGACCAATACGATACGGCGTAGAACGTGGTCCGGCATGAAGGATTTCCCTGGGAATGTATTAATATGGCACAGAGCATAGCTAATTAGGTGGTGTCCCGTAGGGGTGCCGTCATATTCATCAATCGAACGGGATCGAATGGTACATGGTGAATCTTGTCAGCGGCAAGATACATGTACAGACGACTGCCGAGGCAGATCAATACCCAGCGAAGATCAGGAGCTCCTGGGATTTACTCATGACGACTTTTGTCGGCTTTCGACGGGAGCGGATTGTATGGACAATACCGATTATACCGATAGATACGTTGCAGCGACTCCCAAACATGACCATGACCAACACACGACATAATCATAATATGTAAGCGCGTAGCTAAGCAAGCTTCATACGCATAGTATGTGGTTTGGCAAGTGAGGAGGATGTGTTTAGGGAGAGTGATCCGGTTTATTGGGATGTTAAGGGAAGATTATTGGCAGAGGCTCGGGGT